TTGTTATATGCACCATTACGGTCGTTTCTTTGCGAAAGAGGGCGAAGATTGTTGCTTGACCCCAACAAAAGAAAACTTACATCCACCAATCGTAGTGCAATTCGAACAAGGTTTAGCTCAGAAGTTTAAGCAACCTTCCGGAACTGGGATCGACCTTTCGATGTTTGAAGATGGAGAATTGTCGAAAGAATTGGACATGGATGTTTACCCTCTTGCAGTTAAGGCAGAGGCGTCTCCTGATAACCAGAACGAAAGCTCCGACAGCGGGTCCACAAATTCCCAAATAACTCAGGCTGTGTTTGAGAAGGATAAAGGTGAATATCAGCTTAGGGTGGTGAAGCAAATTTTGTGGGTGAATGGAATGAGGTACGAGTTACAAGAGATATATGGTATCGGGAATTCTGTAGAGGGTGAATTTGATGCAAACGACCCTGGAAAAGAATGTGTTATTTGCCTTTCTGAACCACGAGATACTACTGTTCTCCCGTGTCGACATATGGTACACTCTCGATCTAGCTCATTCTCTAACCTCAGTTTATTATAATTTTGTTTGATTGAAACCAGATTTTGGCAATGATGAATTCTTGTTTTGATGCAGTGCATGTGCAGCGAGTGTGCAAAAGTTTTGAGGTTCCAAACAAACAGGTGTCCGATATGCAGACAGCCGGTTGAGCGACTTTTAGAGATCAAGGTCAGCAGTGGTGGTGATGAATGAATGATCAAAACTTTGCTGATGATGAATGACTGGGGGTTTTTCTGTAAAGTTTTTGTTTAATCTACTTTTTTTTTTCTTTTTTTAATTTACTTGCATTTGTTTGTTGGTTTGTTTTCTTGTTCTCTTCTTCTTTACCCGTGCTCTCGTTGCCCTGTACTTCCCAAGCTTCAATAACCAGACTGGAAGCCTCGTTGGTGGGCAAAAATACATCTGTAGTACACTATGATCTTATCTTCTTCTCTCGCTCTCTCTCTTTTTCTTTTTCTTTTTCTTTTTTATAATTTATTTTAGTGGATATGTTGTAGCTTATCAATTCATTTGAAGAATGGTTTTGAGAAGCAGTATTGATAATAGAGCCGTTGAATTCTCGATATATTATATTTTCTTCGTGTACTATGGTGTACAAACTACTATATTGCCTGTCATCTTAGATCAGTCGACCAATTTCTTGGCGACTCTCGTAGCGCCGCCATGTTTGGCAAGCAACCAAACTTTTTATTATTAATTGTACCATGAACATCCAACTTCACCAGCTGAAACTGCGTTTCTTAGTAATTTTTATCTAGAGATAATCAATGTTTGTCTTACCTTTTCCAAAAATATACATGTGTATGCCACAGTTGAAGTAAACCAGTATTTATAGAAACAAAATGCACACACCATTGCAGACACAGACCTCCATTAATTTCAAAAGGTAGATCTTTAAAAAAAAAAAAAAAAAAAAGGTAACAATAATAATAATGGATGATTAGATATTGAAAAATGATGGTGCAATGACAAGAATGTGACAAGAAACCAACAATACAATGAAATAAGGTAAGGGAGAATTAAGTTGTTTCTCAATTTTCCCACCTTAATCTGCCATTGCTGTCACCTTGATCTTTCTTCTCAACCTAATCATTATTAATATTTAAACCTCGCCTTCACCCGACTATGTTCTTCATTCATTCTCTTCCTCGATAAACCTCTAGTAATCGATTCGGTTTATTTCGTTAGCACGAAATTAGAGATGAAACTGTTGGTACTTATCCTATTCCCCTTACTTTTCCTTTTCTTCGCCGCACTAACTTCCGGCCAGTCGACGGGGGCAGCCGCCCCTGCACCTCCAGGCCCAACCAATCTGACCGCTATCCTCGAGAAAGCCGGGCGATTCACCATATTCATCCGCCTATTGCAGAGCACCAAAGTGGCGGACCAGATCTACACACAGCTCAACAATTCAAACCAAGGCCTCACTGTTTTCGCCCCAACCGACGGCTCATTCTCCGGCCTGAAATCAGGCACGCTCAACTCCTTCTCCGACGAGCAGAAAACCGAACTCATCCAATTCCACGTCCTCCCTTCCTATTTCTCGCCGTCGCAGTTCGATACCGCGAGCAATCCCCTGCGCACGCAAGCCGGCGGCAGCGAAGAGCTTTTCCCCCTGAACGTAACCGCCTCGTCGACGGGGAATCAAGTGAACATCACAACTGGAGAGACGAACGCCACGGTGGCTAACACTGTGTACACCGATGGACAGCTGGCGGTGTACGAGGTGGACCAAGTCCTGCTCCCGCGCAGATTTTTCGTGCCCCTACCGCCGCCGCCGCCGCCGTTGAAGCCCGCTCAATCGCCGGAGTCTTCGCCAGGGTTTGGTGCTCCGGTCGTTGATTCATCTTCCGATGCAAATCGCCTTTATAAAGAGGCGCTCCGTGCTATGGCGTGTGCGGTGTTCGTTTTGGCATCATTTACATAAATAAATAATTTATGCTTGGTGCGATTTGTGGATCTTTAAAAACTTAAAATTGTATTTCTGTGTATATTGTGCAATATTTTATGATTTTAAGGACCAATGATATAATATTGAGAGTAAATTTATTTGCAATCAGATCCCTACATTTTGACACCAATTTAAATCATTCCATAAGACTGCAATTTTCCCGCCCATGGAATATAAATGTTCATGAAAATTGAAATATATGCACCAAATAAAGATCCTCTATCTGCAAATAATTTCGATTAGTGTAGAAATTTATACGAACACGAGTAATACTCAACGCAAGCTGCCTGCAATTTTCCTTCAATCGACTGTTATACATACAAATTTTCTGACTGTTATTTCCATGTATCAACTTTCCGGAGAGCAAATTACTAATATGCAATAATAAGCATTTAAAAAGGCCTAACAAAATGTAATGAGCTGCACCTATTGATTGATGGTGGTTAGTCAAAACTGCTATTCTTTATAAAAAAAAAATATATAATCGAAGCCTCTACTTATCATCCTCGGTGAAACAATCCGGTGAAACACAAGGGCGGTGTTAAAAATGAAAACCACCAAATCCACCACCACCGCCAGGAAATCCTCCTTCAAAGTGGAAGGTGTACTGTTGGCCACCTCCTCCTCCCCCAAATGGATTATAACCTCCACCACCCATTCCCATCCCTTCATCAATATCTTCACCACTGTCGTATCTTGTTCGTTTATCCTCATCGCCCAGAACCTGCAGTTAACATACGCCATTAGCTTGTCAGGGCTATAATGGGAAGAGGTAAGTAAAAGAAGCAGCACCAGATTTATAGAAATGTCTCATTCGGAAGAATGAAGGGAGAAAAAATAACCTCATATGCAGCTGCTATTTCCCGAAATTTGGCTTCTGCTGCCTCTCTATTGTCGACATTTTTATCCGGGTGCCATTGTAAGGCGAGCTTCTTGTAAGCTTTCTTAATCTCTGACATGGATGCAGTTTTTGAAATTCCTAAAATCTTGTACCAGTCCTTTCGTTGGCTCAGTTTCAGTGACCTTTCAGCCTTCATTAAAACTTCACGGACACTCATATCCTGTTCAGGGTTGTTCATTAGATAACCTTCACATAAATCTTGCAAAAAGCATTCAGAACTAGATGACTTCTAAATTAAGTAGAATCAAGCAAACAAAATTACTTTACGGAGAAACCCTATTAAGGACAATTCTATTTCAGTGGGGTAGAGCCCGAATTTGTGTAACATTGTGTTTCAAGGAATATCTCAATCCATGGACGATTGAAGGAGTGCAAAGCAAAATCAAATTATACCAAAAGGACAGAGGTTCAAGCCCATTGTTGAGAACTGACATGGCAAGCCGTAGCAGTGTTCTTACTTAAGGCAACCCATTAAAACAATGGAAAATTCACGGTTTTAGTTATTGATTATAACAAACCTTTCAGGACACAGCCTAAGCCTCGAGAATCCGACCAAAAACATTACATCGGTACATACTACATACATACAAATATTAATCATAATGAAGAGAAAGACCGCTAGAATTCTTTATTTAAGTCAGAAAAACAATTAAGAAATATAAAACTTAAATCATTCTAGCTTAGGCAAACGACGAACCTGAGGTGACTTTTCAGCTGCTGATTTTAGGTCAGCGACAGCTCCTTCCCAATCTTCCACTAAAAGCTTGGCTTCACCTCTCTAGAAGATTAGTCCAAAGTTAAAAAAGGAAAATGCTAAACTAACCGTATAGTAAGACATCATTCATGCTACAATGTTTCTGACTTTTAAGAGGCCGTTGCAATATCACAAGATACGTACCTGGACTAGAGCTTCAACTTGATCTCCGTCAATATCAAGTACTTCTGTACAACTTGTCAGAGCATCTTTTCCTCTACCAAGTTTTACCAAGACTTTACACAATCCGAGATGAAGGTGAACATTATGTGCGGAATGGATCGGATCCAAGGCAAGAGCTGCTTTGTATTCCTCTACTGCCAGTCGAAGCTTACCCTTGCTTGCATTATCTTCTGCCTGCAAAAGATAAAAAAAAAAGTTATTTAGTTTTGAAATAAGATCAATACAACACGATCTTAATGTGGAAGTACGATGAATGATTAATAAGTGCTTACACTTTTAGTCTTTTTGAGGAGGTTTTTCAAAGCAAAATATGCTTTCTTCAGTTCAACATGCTCAGGGTCTAGACGAAGACCCTTCTGGTAATGTCTGAGGACAAAAAATATGAAACAACGTAAACACTCTCGAGTCTTGACACATCCTAATCTATTATATCATTGTATTTGAACAGGGGTACAAGGAAAACCATATAAATGTTTCCGAAACGCACCTAATGGCAACATCATGATCGGCTAAGTAATAGTAGGCACGACCACGCAACAGTAAAGCATCTAAATTATCGTCGTCTTCTTTAAGAATGTATCCTGTCTCTGATATGGCACTTGAATAATCTTTAGTTGCTATTAATAATCTCGCTCTGAGGAACTTGGCCTGCAAGGTAGCACCACCATCACAATTAGATGAATCCATGGGTTAGGTACTTAAGACAGATTAAGAAATGGAGCTTTCAATCAATTAAGAATGACAGTTAATTTAGTCACTCGGACAAATTTAAAGACAGACCTTGGAGCATGCTGGAGAGAAAACCATTACGACTTTTTCTATATATTCCAAGGCTTTTGTATAATCTCCTGAATCAAAAAGATCGTTAGCTGAATTTAAGGCACTCTGAGCTTGATGTAACTGAGAAAGCTCCTTCTCTGCCGCTGAATTCCCAGGCTTCAACTCCAGGAACTTTTTGTAGCTCTCCTCTGACTCATCATATCTACATTAGCCAAAAACATCCTGAATCAAATGATCTGTGAATTGTAACCGCGTCCCACCACAGTTTCTAATCAAGAATTGAAGAGTAATATCTCACAATGAAACAAATCTTTCTTACTCTTGCTCATAAGAAGTAAGAACATACAAACATATTCACTCAGTTTCACATAATTGAACACACAGACATTAGCTCATTCAGTAGCATCAGATTTTCCGCATTTAACTTCTCACAGTATCCTAAATTTGTTAGACGAATACTAAAATAAAAAATGTTACAACACATGAACATGACATCCTCGAAATCGAACTTAAAATCTGCTAATCGAACCTGCATATCTGACGAAGAATGGATGCTCGATGCGAATAAGCTTCTGATAGTGCTGGGTCTGCCTCTATAGCAGAATTAAGTTCGGCAAGTGCCTCACTGTATTTCTTCATTTTTATACTTTGTGAAACTCTCTCGAATAAAGCAGCAGCATCACCAGATTTTGCATCTGCATTCACATAAAGAAGGAAAGAGTTATAGCCACCTCAGTCCTATGCCACAATGAATTGGTGTTTATGTCAGTTAATGGTCACAATTAAATTTGGCGACTGAATTCAAGATAATGTCATATAAGTTCAAGTAGACAGCATATATCATCATGTATTCCATTGGATGCACGCACGAAGGAACCAGAAAAAAATGAGACAATAAGTGAATCCAACAGATTAACATCATATACAATAAGCAGATTTTGAACATTTCTTATCCATCCCATCAATGCATGTCAATCAACAATCAATAAATATTTTTAATAGATTCTCAGACAAAATGCATAACGAAGAATGTCAACAATATCACCAATTTCTTCTAAAGAAAGTGATCGAAATACTGAGTCCCACAAAAGCTTCAGTCCAAAGTGAAGTAAACGCACAATCCAACAGACCCCAAATAAATATTATCCTCAAAGATCAATGGCAAGTATTGTTTCATTATCCCGTGTAATTATCTTGATATCGCAACAAGTCTATGCAATGTCTAGACACTAGAAGTCATAGATATGATACAAATCGGCATTTACATTGCAGTCGATTATTTACATTTGGAATCCACAAAAAAATCCAATTATACACACCTCTTTAAAATAAAATTCTAATATCAAAATGAAAAAAGGAGGGTCATTGACAATAAACTTAACTTGACCTACAACTGCACAAAGAACTAATTCAATTCTTTTTTTTTTTAAACTTAAAAGCAAAAATACTATCTTAACCGCAATTAAAATAGATCAATCCAATTGACACACGCACAGCGCGTAATAAATGAAGAAATTCAAAACTAAATGTCACCTGTAGCAGCAACAAGCGGTTGGAGGAGGATTAGCTGACAACAAAACACGAAATTAAGAATAAATATCGTATACATAAATCCTCTCCATGCCAACAAATCAAAACCACCACCGCAGAGCTTCATCCGAATCTCCATCTCAAAACCCCCCTCCGATGCTCGTAAATTTTTTTACAAGTAAATGAAAATCATAGATACAATCGGAGATTTGTTGATATGAAATGGTGTTCGGTGATTTACGAATTCGAGGATTTTATTGAGCGAGAAGTGTAAATATTAGTGTTAAGATTACAGCAATTAGAAATTTCATCGAGGTGAGTAAACCCCGTCGGTATTTGAAGGATTTGTGCGTCATTCCACGTTGTGTTGACCTATAGCTGGCTACCACGTGTACCTTGAGCTCTGTTGTGGGCGCTGTATGTACTAATCAACAGTCGCCACGTGTACTTCTTCGGTATTACTTTTTCACAAATTAGGAAAATAATTTATGACTTGTAATGCTGACCAATCTGGCGTAGAACAAAAGAGAACATGAAATTATAAGAGATCATATTTTCTTACCAATATTTACTTAGGTTTAATGTGTCACACATTGACTTATATAGCTAGAGTATGATTTATGTTTTTCGTGTAGTATACGAATTTATTGCGGAGTCCAGAGGCTCAAAATAAAAATATGAATGTATAATTTATGGTTCACTAATAAAATTAATAGGAGTAGAAAATGGAAATTTTGGATCAGAATTAGTGCTTTCGAAAACAATCAATTTTAAGGCGATTTTCTTTCGAAAAATAAATCGTACAAATTGAAAATAGGGATTTAAAAAATTGGGCCCAATTGGGGTGCACTTTTGAAGTGTATTTGGGCCCAAAAACCCACTAAAAGACACTTACCAAATTGGACAATTCAGAATCAAAGTCCGGGCCCGAATGCCCTTATAAGTAGCTTTCATACTTTTATTTTCTATTAGAAAAGAATATTTCACATAGTGAATATTTTTTACTGGTAATTTGGTTTTTCTTCGGCTCCCGTAGAAAATGGACAAATAATCCGTTCAAGCTAGAAGATCATTTCATACGTTGTACTCTGACGGCTTATGAGATTCTACACCTGGTGAGATACACTATATGGTTTTAAACCGTAGATCTACACAAATATAAGCGCACACACACACATGGATGTGTGTTTGTGTAGATCAATGGTGTAAAAATACATGTAAAAAATAAAAAAATTACACCATTCTAAAAGCTTGATAAAAACTCAAACAAGTTGAACATTCGTTCAGCTCAACTCTATTAATTTACAGCCTTAATCCTATCCTGAATGTCCAGTTTCTTATTGGACGTCCGTAGTTTAAATCAGAAGAAGAAATCATTATACGGTCACTACAATAAGCATAACACCACCCCAAACACACAAACACACGCACAAAAAAGATACCAACCGATACAAACCAAACACAGTAGAGTAAGAGAATATCAAACAACTTCTATTTCTTCAACACACTGCAAGAAAACATTGTATAATTAGAGCATGGACACCAATTGAGCATGCAATAATTAGCTAGTAATGTATGTAATAACTTTTTTTAATCTTTCGAAAAATGTGTGGGGAAGATGCTAATATCAAAAGGAGGAGGTTGCTTAGATGGAAATGAAAAACTTACTTGTATAAATAGGCTGCAATTCCAAGAATTATACAGAGCAAAATGATGTCGATGCAGAAATTCCGACTTGATCTCAGCTGCAGCAACATAACCAAAAGATCCATTAAGGATAGTGACATTTGAAAATTAATGTTGTGCTGTGATTACTCTTGGTTGATTATTGTAAGTCAGAACATCGATGAGATAATACCCAAGTCACAATGTATATTTCAATTTAAAAGTTATATATATATATATATATATATATATATATATATATATATATATATATATATATATATATATATATATATATATAGTAATATATAATGATTTGTCGGTTGTACTTATTATGCATCCCAAGAGGCGCAGGCCTGTAGGAATTACAATAAAACAGCATTTACAAATCGAAGAATTGAACAGAACCTGTTGAACAGTGTCTTTCAGTCTGACATTGGTATTTTTCAGGTCAGATGTTGCCTTGTCCACCTACACGCAGTCAACAAAAAAATCTTAGAATTCACCGACATAAAGTCAAACTACTGCTGAGCAAAGTGGCAATTAGTCATCATAGCTAGGAATTGTCTACATAAAGTCAAGATGCTGCTCAATAGTGACAAGTGTAGGACTACACGCTATGCTTTAATTGCACGCTTGAGCCACTAAACAAGCTGATATTGTTAGAGCTTTGTGGGAGGAAGCCATAACAAAACGGTCAATTTCGTCTGTAAGACAACATTTTATTCTTTTGAGGTCATTCAAATTGTCCTTGGAACAATTTATATTAAATCACCACTTAACTAGAGAACCATTTATAAAGCTTTTGCTTGCATAGCAGAAATTTCAGAAAATATTATGGGGAGAAAACCATCAGACAGCATAGGACCAAGAAATAGACAAAAAAGTGTGACATGGAAATATAAAATGACTCAGAACTCGTAAACCATAGTTACAAGTTTGTATCTGCATTTCTAACCTTAGTGTCAATCTCATCCATCAGAGGAACTTGCCTATCAAACTCCTGCAAGAAAATGAATGCATATTTAAACAGATGAAATGTGGGGAAGCAGCAAGATATTAGCAACTAAACAGTATTAAAAAATAGCATGAATAAAGAAGAAAGATAACCTCATTCATATCACTAGCCATGTTTTTTAATGTATCCAGACCTTCTGCTATGACGTCCAACCCTTGTTCCTGTTTTAACATCATCATAGAATGTGACAATATGCAATCAACAACTGTACACTACGCATTTCAAGAAAAAAAACACGTGCCTGTTTTATTTTTCTCATTTCATACTCTTGCCTGAACTGACTCGATTCTTCAGTCTGCTGAAAGTATTCATTGTCGAAACGCCCATCTAGAAAAGATCAGCATTAACACATAAGATAATAACAGTAAAAAAGACTGAGCTGAAAACAGAAACAGAACAAGAATTTTACACCAACACACAGTTTAATACACAGGACAATTTAAGATATGAACAACATAGACAAAACCTGAATCAAATTTGATTTCTGTACGAGGAGCTGAAGTTCCCCAACCCCCAGATGATTTGGGTGCCGCTGCAGAGCCATCTGGTATGGCTTGAATTCTATCAGGCAAGGCAAGGACCAGATCATTACGTGCAGTTAGTTCTTCTGTTGAAAGTCCTTTAATCTGGAATAAAGACCATCATCAATGTTGAAACAAACTTCATAACATCAAACGAATGCAGTTTTTCTCGAGGGCAACATAGAAAAGTGAAATAAACTAGATCCTAAAGGCTACAAATGAGATGAAACTCTGACTGACTGCAGAGCTGCACTACTTCATCACAAATCACAAAGCAAGGAGCGTATGATTTTGTTTCTGCATAGCAAGACTGGTTATATCAGTCATACAAAAAGAGAAGGTGGTTGTGCGCCGAAAACTCTTCTTGGTCTTGCATATCATAATGGATCAAGATCATAATATCGAAATACATGTGGCTGCACATGCTTCTTAGTCATTTTAGAGACAATACTGAACGACTGTCCAAAACTAACATTTAAAGATCAAGAAATTTATAAGTGAAATCATAATTTTTTATGCTTTGAGATCTGGAATTCAGAGATAAACTTAATCGACTTCCAGATCCTTATAACGACAGTCCAAGACGGTGTGAAAGTTGCCCAGGAATAAAGACAGAAAGATTAAGAGTGTATGTTCCCAAATGTCATACATATTCGATTTAGGGCCAGTAGTTCTAACTTAATCCAAGTTCCACTTAAAATAACCCAGACCACTCGATGCACTGATGAACAAAACCCTAATTGAACATTACAATTCTGCAAACAAGCAGTTAAACACACATCTCTAATTGAAATGACAAACTCTCTAGAATACCTTTTTAACAGCTAACCGCTGCAATTTGGGGACCTCTTCGAACAATCGAGCCTTGGTCCTCCGAAGCTCGGCGTTGATCGCAACAACCGACGCCCTATTCTTCTCACTTGAAGCTGTCTCCGCTTTCTATCAAATTCAAAAAAAGAAAAATTCAAAGTTCAATTGCATTTAGTAAAGTAAAAAGTATAAAACAATAAATTGTACTACTGTCTAGTATGTTAAACCTGAAGAGCGGACTCGATGTCGGACTCTACTGCAGCGTAGAGGCGGGCGAAGGCGTCGTCACCGGAGATGTTGGTGTCCTTCTGCGAGACATCGTATTTGTCGTACTTTTTGCAGATCGTGTCCACACGAGTCAGTATATCGATCACACTCATTTCTACGCCTCTTTCAAATTCTATATTCCTTAGTATAAAAAAGGCCACTAACTTATTTTCCGGCGAGAGATTTTGATGCTCCGAGCAAAGTAGAATTGAAGTCAGTGAGATTTAGTTCTGTGCAGAGTGGGTGACGAAATACGACAGCAAGTTTTCACTCCAATTGTGCTGCGCGCAGGGCAACTTTATCTCAATTGTCCAAACTACCCTCCGAAAATCATCAATAAAGGGGGCGTTTGGCCACTTTATCTCAATTGTCCAAACTACCCTCGGAAGATCATCAATAAGGGGACGTTTGGCCCTTTGGTACCTTTGGTAGCCTTAGGACTGACAATTCAATTTCCGACTACTCCGATATGGAATTTTTCGATTTCAAAACAATATTTCCAAAAATTTTGAATCAAAATTAAATGTGCAAGAAATTTCGGGTTTCCAATTTAAAAATGAAATATTTAATTTCACAAAATTTTCCGATTTTGAAACAAGTCTTTTCATTTCAATTTTTGAAATCTCAATTTCCAATTTTAACGGACGGTATAGGTAATATCTGAAAGTCGAGTTTCCAAGAATTGCATCTCTTGTGGAAATAAGAAAACCGAAAACGGAAGAAAGGTCTTCATCAATTGTTATAACCAAAATCTGGATCGAAAATCCGACCACTATCGATAAATATACTGTTATATACACTAATAAAATGCGTTAAAATGCAGCCTCATCCACAAAAAATGAAGTGCAGAGAATGGGATATAATTTAAAGGGCATAAAGTACTATTTAATAGCCCATAAATAAAAAATAAAAAATTAAAAACAATGTCGTGTTTTTTACGACTGAGAACTTTGACGCCCTAACTGCTGACTAGCTACCTCGAACGATAAGAGTTCTTGCATCAGCGATGCAAGTTTAGTATCATCCAGTTCACGAATATAAGGCGGTACTTTCTCTTGGTAGCTAGGTGCACTCATTTTCTTCTTCAAGCTGTCACATTGCCTGCCAACAAGATACTCAATTTATCGATTATAATTCAGCAAAAATGAAAGAAAAAAAACGAGTTTCTAACGATTAAAAAGCAGGTCACGAGTTTCTCACAATTGTATATCTTCCATTTTCTTCCTCAGTTTTTCAAGTTCAGCTTCGACGTCAATATTCCCCTTCTGTGTGAGGAAAACGGAAAGAGCTTCGTTCACCACATCCACCTTACAACCCAACGGTGCATCGTCCCTCTCGCTCAAAACCTAAATAAAAAATATATATATCATGTTTATACAATATGTTCAAAGAATGATATAACCTATTCATTTATTATGGTAACGGTATATCAAAAGAGGAACCCTAAAAAAATTGATTTTACGTACATTGAGAGATGATAATGTAGCAAGAGTGGCAATCTCCAGTTCGTGCATCTTGATGATTTCACATGCATCGCTTTTGCGGCAACGGACAAAAGCTGCTCGCCTGAAAAGAAGTCCATTTCTTCGTTATCAACAAAATCAGAAACTCGGAACATTTAACAAAGATTATCGTTTTGTTGTCTTCGTAGCAAGCACAAGATAGTAATTTCCGAGTCTATTTCAACAAGGTTGCAACACATATACCGTTCTCATGTTTACCTTTCATGCCTCTCGTTTGGTGCCAACTGTGATCGAAGAGACCTCAGTGATTTCACCACGGATTCGATCATTTCCATCTCAGACTCCACACCATCATCTGTCCAACACTGCATAAAAAAAGGGGGATTTCAAAACATTATACACAATATAGAATCGTATATTGTAGATAAAAACTACGATATATCTATAGTCAACAGAAACAGATAATAGAGCTCAAAATGTACAACATGAAGCAACAAAATCATGTAAACAGACGAAAATCGTATTAACTAAACTTGCATAAAAGTGTGTATAGCATTTACCTCTACGGTTGATGGATATTCAGATATCACAATCGATTGTTTCCTCAAAGAATCCTTCTTCGAAGGAAGACGCTGCCACAATTCTTCTGTGATGAATGGCATAAAAGGATGAAGTAGTCGTAACCCATAATCCAAACACAACCACAAGGTATCCTGTGCATATCTTCTTGCCGATGCAAGAGATGGATCGTTGCCAGAAAAATACGGCTTAATTACTTCAATAAATACGTCACACAATTGAAACTGCCACCACGAGTACACAGCTGTAGCAGCATCAGAGAATTCACAGGAATCTAGGGATTGAACTGTTTTTGATATGGCTTTGTTCAAAACAGAAAGTATCCACTTGCAGCTGAAAGGCATGCCAGCTGGAACAATCTCGGCAGGAGGGGTATAATCGTCTCCAAGTTTAGTCATCGCGAACCTAATAGCATTCCAAAGCTTATTGCACCATTGCCGATATCCAACCACCCTCTGAATGTCCAGATTTATTTTGTCCGACTGAAAAGTAGAGAATGTGAATATCAAGCTTCAAAGAGAACAAACAATTTTAGGAAGAAAAAAAAAACCCAGAAAATATGTACTAACCTGAGCAGTATATGAAACAAGGGCAAAACGTAACGCGTCGGCCCCACATTCAGGAATACCCTTGGGGAAATCTTTCTTCTGTCCCTCTTTTGCGGTTTTCAATTCGGTGGGATTAAAGTTTCCTTCCTCTAGCCTTTTGTGAAGATTTTCCAGGGTTATTCCATTAATGACTTCCAGCGGATCGATAACATTTCCGTCAGACTTGGACATTTTCTTTCCATGTGCATCACGAATCATAGGATGCAAGTAAACCTGTATGGTTAAAAATTAATGGTCATTTGCTTTTTCTTTCTTAACACTACAAATCACAGAAACCTAAACAGCGGTAACATTTAATTGATAGAGAAAGAAACCAAATGACACCATAATTCTTGAAGGGTTAACTGAAAAGGTTTAGACAGATACGATAAACCAAAACAAAGAAACGGAAAGCCACAAAATTTGCAATGCGAATACATTGTAAATCATGAATATAAGAATGTTACTCACCTTTCTAAATGGTATGTCACCTCCTAGCTTCATTCCCAACATCACCATTCGAGCAACCCAGAAAAAGAGGATATCGTGGCCAGTTTCAAGCACGGATGTGGGATAAAATGCTCTCAGATGTTCTGTATTATCTGGCCAACCTAACACAGATAATGGAAAAAGACCAGACGAAAACCAAGTATCCAACACATCGGGATCTTGGAAAAGCTCGAACTTCTTTCCAGCAAATATTCTGTTAGCCTCTTTCTGAGCATCTTCTTCATTTCTGGCAACAACCCACTGGTTATTGTATGCAGTATGCACCAATTACCTTCTTTTTATCATCCTCAAACATAGCATACCATGCAGGAACCTGGTGGCCCCACCAAAGTTGTCTTGAAATGCACCAATCATGTATGTTTTCAAGCCATCTGCAATGTAGAAAGCCCACTCACTAGTATCAAAATTCATAAAAATGGGGCATAAAACAATGTGCATATATCAAACATGTGTAGAGAAAAACAAGAAAGGAAGAACACCGTTCTTGCTTGTATGATCATGTTCTTGTAAGAAAATGTCAAAGGATTGTATCAATTCAGAAAATACCTCTGCCATTCAGCAACGTATTGTTTGGGTATGATCTCCATCTTCGGATTTGTATCGTCCATGACAGCATCAAGACCTTGTTGCGCCATGCTTTTGCAGTTTACGTACCATTGGGGCTTTATGAGGGGCTCCACTACATCTTTGCTTCTTGAACAAATGGAAATGCTCATCTTGTAATCCTCATCACCTCTGTAGAGTCCCTGAAGTGCAAAGAAAAATAACTGTAAAAACGCGTATCGTAGGAAAAAAAAAAAAAATCGCCTCATTTTTACGAAAAGTTGCACAGCCTTTCTCTTAAGGATTCGATGAGAATGCAATGAAACTAGGGACGGAAGATGATTTCCATCAGATTTCATTTGTAACTTACTCTTGGCACTTCAACAAGGCTAACTACAGTAAAGTATATGTGGCCAAAACCCCGATATTTGAAATATGTAAAAACTAGTATACCTTTTCCTTTAAAGCTTCTGTCACAGCCACACGAGCTTCATAACGTGGCAAACCTGCAAACTCAGGACCGCCTTTCTTGTTTATCTTTCCATCATCAGTGAAAATGTTGATGAATTCAAGATTATGGCGCTTGCCAACCTTAAAATCATTAGGATCATGAGCTGGAGTTATCTGCAAGATATTCATGTCATTTGAATCGACTTTTTCTAAGAAGAACTGGAAAATCAAAGACCAGCATTCAGAACAATCTAAGTTATTGGTTACCTTAACAGCACCAGTCCCAACGTTCATTCTTACAAGCAATGGATCACAAATTATAGGAAGTTTCCTTCCATTAAAAGGGTGAACAACAAATTTCCCATGAACATGGCTGTATCTTGGGTCATCAGGATGTACGGCAACTGCAGTATCACCCAGCACTGTTTCCACACGAGTAGTCGCCACAACAATCTCACCTAAACCTCCTTCCAAAGGATAAGCAAATAATGTCAACACACCAAACTCGATGGGTTTTTCATATCCAGGAACTCGTATCGGTGTTCTCTCACTCAGTTCTATGGGTTCTACCTAAAAGACCAAAGCAGAAATTTAGGATACAATTGTGCCATAAATGCGAAAAGATGAAACAGAACAGTTGTATCTTACCTCAATATCAGATATTGCTGTCCTCAGTACACAATCCCAGTTCACTAGACGAATATCTCTGGAAATAAAATAGGATGAGAAGTTTTAAAACTATGAAGAACAAACTAAACACGATAAATCAAGCAAAGAAGGAATAACAATTAACACATGTTACAAGTCAAAACAATTATCATGCATTTCAAGAGAAATGTTCTTATAATGACTTAGGCATGAGCATACCTGTATATGAGTCCCTCCTTGTGAAGTCTCACAAAAGCCTCGGTCACAGCCTTTGATCTCTTCTCATCCATGGTAAAGCACTATTCGGGACAATGAAACCAAAAGAATATTACCGGACTGTTTACTGATACAAACGAAAATTAGTATCTAACAATGACGAAAATTGTCACCTCGCGCGACCAATCCAGAGATGCACCTAAGCGCCGGAGTTGCTTTAGTATGGTGCCCCCATACTCATTCTTCCATTTCCAGACCTATAACCGAATTCTCCAAGTGATTAGCTAAATTAAATGAACGACCGATTAGTTGTCTTAACAAAATATATCACCTAAAACATATGACCTAGTGTCATATATTTCATAGAAATTGGTACAATCGTAAGCCAAACAATGAACCCACAAAACGTATCATCACCAAAAAAAAGGTACAGATGATCAAACTCACCTCGGCAATAAATCCTTCACGACCAACATCCTGCCTTGTCAATTTCATCTCCCTCCAAAGTTTCTTCTCCACGACAACCTGAGCCAGTTAAATAAACACCGGTTATTTATTCAGATGCCTATTTTTCCGCTTCATATACAGCCATCATACCCATCATTTCAAGTACCTTCAAAAATCTATAATACATACCATATATCTTGATATTGCTATGGGAACGAAAGAACCGAAATGTATCTTATCAGTAGATCAATTGCTACATTCTTTATAATATTCACTAAATAGCTAAGTATTCCATAACTTTTTTCCTATCTCAATATTTTTGGATAATACCTTATACACCATTATAATTGAGTTCTGAGAAATAAACTAATTTGCATGAGTTCTATATCATTATGAACTGGTAATGAGTTTGACAAATTAAGCCCACATCATATTATGAATGTAATGGAAATCCATTAAGATGCGTTTTGAAGAAAAATGTAAACTTCTTTCAGTAAGATATACAGGTCGAAATTGCCATCCCTTGTTGAATTAATATCGGGATCAGAATTTCCTATCACGAACCTCCCCCTAGACAAATCCCTTGCCACCCAAATCAAATAAATGAAGCTAGTGACGTGCAGATAATAATAATAAAATAAATAAGTTCCAAAAAACAACCTGTGTGGCAATTCCAGCATGGTCCATACCAGGAACCCACAATGTATTGTATCCAGACATCCGCTTCCAGCGAATAATTGTATCCTGCAGATTGTAAATAACAAGCAATTAAATAAAAATTCAATTTCGATAAGTTTCACAAGAATGCAAGTTGAATTAAAAACCTGGATTGCAGCAGTAAGAGCATGGCCAATATGAAGGGCCCCAGTAACATTAGGTGGTGGAAGAACCTGCATTCCCAACAAGAAATGGTCGAAAATATTAGTCGCTATTGTTTGGATAAATAAGCAACCCCACCAGAAAGGAAACAAAACAAATGAAAAAAGATGAATACATATGGATAACCCACTCGCTAAATTATATGCTTATGTTTTCAATAGGTCATTGCTAACTTTTTAATTTAAACATATTTCACTCTTCAATAGCTATCGATCTTCTAAGGATGAGCATATCTCAGAAACTCACAATGACAAAAGGCGGTTTGGTGCTTTTTGCGTCTGCCTCGAAGAAATTAGACTTCTCCCACCATTCATACCACCTAGATCGGAAATTTGAAGCACATAGGTTAGAAAGAAGCGTTTTTTATATTTCAAAGGGAAAATAGATCAAATAATTCAAGCATACGAGTTTTCGACAGCACTGGGATTGTAAGTCTTTGCCATTTGTCGAGACAGATTCTTCTTCTCACCAAAAGGTGTTTCAGGGTCGGTATAATCCTCAAGATTGTCCTCCTCAGCTTCTCGTTTTGCATTCTTCTTTTTCTCCGACTTTGAAGAGGTAGTAGATTGTTGTGCCTTGATTTTCCAGAAAGTGCGATGAGTAAATTATTTCCATAAAACGAGTAAGAAAAAACAGCATAATTTTCCTTTTTTTAGTCCTTAATAAATACCTGAAGTTTGGCTGCTTCTGCTTTTTGTTTAGCCTTAAGTTTCTTCAACTCCTTCTCTCTAGCCTACAAGAATCCATCAAACGCAATTCACGAAAACCATTAATACAATCAAACAGCAGTAGTTAGTTGAACATAACTAAAAATACAGGACTTATGCCTAGTATGATCAATATGGATTACATGAACACAGCTACACAGCATCAATTATACCAATGCGTTATTGAAATTGTGAATTCTTTAAAAGGGCAATAATATTGTTTGTAGAGTACGCGTAAAAACATGCAATCTCGAATTAGATAATATTGGTATCGCCGAAACGAGGCAAAAGAATACGGATTAATCAAAAGCCACAAAACTTCACAAAAGATATACATGCACTGCATGGAAGCAATGAGAAAAGTTGACGTAGTGGAACGAGATTCTTGAAAACCCAATCAAATTACACATACATGCAACTCTACCGCCAAAATTCACTAATGCCAACTTAAAGCTCTGTAATTCCTAATACAATTATAAACGGCAGCAAACGAATAGTTAACGGAGGCTCAAACCTTTTCGTCTTTCTTCTTCTTCTTCTCCAGTTCTTCCCGTGTAAGCTCTAACGAATCCATTGATCCTCCCTCTGTCGATAACCCAAAAATTAAAAAAAAAAAAAATCAATCTCAAAGAGCCACATAATCACATTACTAATTCTAAAACATGTTTCTAACATCATACCCCCCGAAGAATGAAACTGGAAAAAAAAAACAAGAAAAAACACACTCACAGATTCTCCAAAAAAACAGATTTAATAGGCGCCGACCAAGCAGTGATCAGCCGCTCGGATTAGCGAGAATGGAGAGAATCTCGGTCGGATTATAAAGTCGGCTGTAGGAGGCCGAGTATCAACAGTGGTCCGGCGGCGTTATGCGGTTGGAATTGAAGGAGTCCGGTTCAGCAACTTAGGGCGGACGAGTGATCAGGCGGCGGTGGCGTAAAATTTGCAGGCGGAAAACAAAATACAAAGAAGAACCATTTTAATTAGCGTGAGGCGTTTAATGTACTAATCACGCTAAGAGCAACTCCAATGCTAAATATCAAAATTGGATTATCAAATGCTCATTTGATATTTATGATAATATTTTAAAATACATTTAAAACTAATCTACTCCAACCATGGTAATTAAATTTTATTGTCAATTGGAAGTTTTTTGATAATTTTATATGTAATTGCCACATGTCAAATTCTGATTGGTTGGTTAGGTGGTTATTTTTTTGATAACTCAATCTGCATGAAGTATTTTTAGATTCAAAGACGTGAAATATTAAAAAACAAACCCATTTTAATAACCCCTTTGGAGAATACAATTTTTAAATTTTAGGAGTCAAATGGTAGTTAAGAGATTTGATAACTCATTTAATAACTCCATTGGAGTTGCTCTAAAGAAAACTTATGTTTGGTAATTTCCTTTCACCTTAATATTCCCACGTGCGGAATTTTTAATGGAAGGTAAGTCATCGTTAACGTTAATTAATATACTGCATCTTACTTTTGGAAGTATATGAGTTAACGTTGACGCTAAGCAACTCCGTAACTTAACGGTCGTTGTTCTTTTGTGATCTTTGACCTATACTGGACTCTTTAGTGGTTTTTAAGTCATTTGTTTCTCTTTACATTCTTTTGGGCTAAGGCCCATTAGATAAACTAAAGTCATTATTCAATTCAATTTTGAATAGTAGAAAATATATAATTGCATTTGTACAAATAATAATGGGGTTATTTTACATACCCCCTAGCCACCAAATAAACTAGGGATAAACTCAAGCCCAAAACATCCTTTGATATACCCCCTGGAGAAGGAAAAGTACTATACTACCCTTATATGCAATTTTCGGCCAAACTGCATTCAGCATTTCTGGTACTGTATTTATCATTTTCGCTGATTTATTTATTATTATTTTCGTTTTTTTTTTATATAAATAATAATAAACCTGTTTGTTAAATTTATATATATTTATTTATTTTTTAATTTTTTAATTTTTTTTTAAATTAAAAAAAAAATTAATTTTTTTAATTTTTTTAATTTTTTATTTTATTTTTAATTTTTTTAATTTTCAAAACAATACGTTTGCAGTACTGAAAATAACTACATGTAACTATGGTACCTATAGTAATTCGTAGTTATGTTCGTTTTTTTCCCCATATTTTTTGTCGATCTATTGTATACACACACGAATACTGGTTTATACAAAAGAAATTCATAAACCCCAATAAAAATTTACAAATGTCAATATTTTTATTATAAATCACCTCAGAACCAAAAAAAATAAAAAAATGAAAATACACAAATATATGCATATATAACTACATGTTACTATATATGTATAGTTATGTATACAGTTTGTGAAACACTGCTTCACAAGTGACTTCAACCAAATTTTTGACACCTTCAAGGAGAGGATCAATGGCTTTTCATAAGCTGCAATTGCAAAATCAAAACAAAAAAAAATTACTTAGTTGCAAATCAACAAAATTTGATGAAACATCAAAACACTAAAAAATCAACAAAAACTAAAAGATCGAGAGATAGAGAGAGAGGTTATTGCTGGGAAATGCTATAAATTTTAAATCAAACATACAGTGAATCCTCACCCCCCCTCGCCTCCTACCAAAACCCTAGGCGCCGCTACTAACCACCCACAGTTTCGCACACCCGCAAATGCAAAAAATTATAGAAATAAATCTGTAAACATAAAAATAAACAAAATTACCATCAAAATATAGATATCGACGAGAGGAATCCAACGGTGGGTAGCCCGTTGAATTTCGACTGGTGGAACACAAAGAACACCTCCGGCAAGACCACCGTCGTCGAATGAAAAAAAATTGCAGAAACAGATCCGTTCTCCAACCCGAATGAAATCACCACCAAAAGAAAGAGCTCGACGAGAGGATTCCAACGGTAGTTAAACCATCGAATTCCGACCACCGGAGAGAGAGTTATGGCTCCGGGAAGCAATTTCACCGGTGGGAGGTTTGTGGAGGCGGGATTTTGAATTTGGGAGGAGAAGAGTGACCGAAATGTGAGTGTCTAGGGTTTAAAACTGATTTTAAAAGAGTATTATAGGTACTTCAGATGGGTCCAGGGGGGTATGTCAAAATATTTCTGAAATTATGGGGGTTTCCATTAGAGTGCAATCCACTTGGTAGTTAGTTCTATATAATTTGGGAATGAGGGGGGTCTACAAAATAATCCCAATAATAATTTAGTAATGAATATGCACATTAATTTTGTTAGTACTAGCCTACTAGGAGTTTCATTTGTGCAATGTACGAAATATTCATATTGTTAATTAATTATTAACAATATAATTGTTTGATAATAATGTTTTAATACTTTAAAAATATATATTTTCTGATTTTCAAAAAATAATAATAAGTTTCATAGTTTTACGACTCAAATGAATATTTTTTTTTAATATTATTTTTTTAATTTCTCTTTATTTTGAGTTCCTTATACATGTGATCCCCTAGTATCGGTTATGTTGGTTTTTTTTGTTTTAAAAAAAAACCCACATAATTCAAAAAACAATAACTTTCCTAAAAAAAACAATAACTTAAAGTTGATTATCTACATTTATTAAAATTGACTACCAAAATTTTCTAGTGGATTATATTAATTTAATAGTGAATTACAATAATTGGTTACTGAATTACTTTAAGTTTTTTGTGGATTACACTAATTATTTAATAATTATAAATTACCATTTATCCAATTTTTAAATCTTGTATCTATTAGTGATAATGTTTAAAGTTTAAAGCACATAACTAATATTATTAGTTTTTACTATTTTTTGATAATTAATTTATTTTTAGAATATATTTAAACATCTATAAATTAACACAATTGTAATTAACAAAATATATTAGTGAAATATTAAATTATCTAAATAATAATATAATATATTTCCACTTTTGCTTATCAACTATTAATTTATTGAGGTGTAGTGTATTTCGTTCTTCTCCACGCCTACGCATACAATGTATACAATATAAAATTCTACCGTTTCATTTCTTCTTATAATCTCTCTCTATCTCTAATCCCCTTTTCACATTCCGTCTGGTTCTGTATATGCTGTTTGTGTATCTCCGTTGATCATCCATCGTGTTCTTTCCGATCACCGATTAAGATAGGTATTTCGATGTAATAATATATTTTTTTACTACTGAACTTTCCTTAGCATTAAATTTGCATTTTGCTTTATAAATCGCTCCTGATTGAGGGGGGTTTGTTGAGCTATGGATTAAATTTCGCATTTATATGTATTTTGTATGATCGATGCATTATTTGTATGGTTTTGGTGTGAATTTGGGGAGATTGTGCTTTCCGAGCTATATTTTCTTCATATGAATTTGTAGAGTTTTGATATTTGATTTTTAGTTATTTCTTTCTGATTTGATTTTCCGTTTTTTTTTTCAAATTTTTTCTTCGTGTAAGTTTATTTTTTGTGCATATGGTGGATATAACTACTCAGTATCAATTTTGTTTTTGGCTTCGTTATCGTTATAATATTAATTGGTTTATCTGTTGCTAGATACTCTTCCTGATTTTCCCAGGAAAGTGGATCAGGTAAATAGTTACTGAATATGGTAATACATGGTGGTTTTTGGGGTTACATATCTTGTTGAGATTGCTTGTTTTATAATATCTTTTAGTAATTAATTTATCTTGTTCGCTGTAGTCATTGATGATTGTCTTTTGTTTTTTTTTTCTTTCTCATTTAAACATTTTTTGGGGATTTTGTTATGCATCATCAGAAAGACCCAGCCACTGCAAAATAGCGTTAGTATTTTATCTCGATCATGTTCTCAGTGACATAATTAAAAAAAAAAAAAAAAAGAAAAAAGAAAAGAACTGACTAGGTTCAGTTCTCTTTAAACACCCTGTATTTTCTAATATGTGAATTTCTAACTTTCATGTTTTAATTAGTTTTCTTAGTGGCTAAAAAATTGGGGTTTTAAAGATTCATGTTCATGTGACAATGTTACATTGTCATAGTAAATCGTTATTTGTTTACTCAAAGCTTATGCTCTTTTACGTTAGAGGTTTACGTTTGTTCCGACCAGTCGGAAAGTGAAAAGGACGTCAAGCTACGCAAACGTTAGAATGTCTCCCTGAGTGATTATTTATGATGCTTCATCTGGCATCATTTTATGGATAGAGAGAATAATTTTCAGGTGAGATATCTTTATTCTTAGTACTCTGTCTCTGCCTAAGATATTTTGTTCCTACAAGAAACTTCCTCATCTTACATCAGTTTTAAACTCTGCTTAGTCCTAATCATTGAAATGTTTCTTACACGGTTCTTTTAGATAACGTATTAGGTAGCTGGGAAATGGGCAATGTACGAAGATCTTGGATATATGCATCTTCTTTTGCTTAGTCACCGTTAATCTGTTTTAAATGTAGAAATAGCTTATCTCCTAGACACAAATAGGTCATATACTTGGTCTATAGCTGCTTAGCCTCTCTAACATGAAAATTCTGAATCATGAATGGTATTGCAGGAACTTTTATGGTCCACCTCGATCACTGACGAAAGGGAATTGAATTTGAATTCTGGTTTCCCATTCGAATGAATAATAAAATGACCTGCTGCAGTTACAGTAACTAACGAGTCAAGCCTTTGAGTTGGAGAATGAAAGAAGATAATATAGAACATAATATTGCCAGACGTTAAGTCCTTAGCCCTGAGTGGAATTTATGTGTAACAGTTCATCATTCTGCTCCAAAAAAGGAACACATTTTAAATTGGTCTCAGTTAATTCCAGGATTGGCCTTGATGAAAGTTACCAGCCATATTTTGGTATTTAGGGGCCTTTCTGGTGAGTGACATCTGGGGCAATTTGTGTTTTCTTGATGGTGCATGGCATCAGACCTATATCACTTTCTAAAAGTATTTTCTGGCTATTAGAAATCATCTTAGCTCTATTAGTGGTTATAGATTGCATCATTAAATCTATGGGTTGTGAATGTGTGATACACTGGAAGAGTTCGGCTCTGGCTTGGTAATCTATTACGCTATTTTAGCTATTTAATCAAGTCTTCCATATCTCTGCTTGCTAGGCGGCGGTCCCTTTTCCTTGGATTCACTTGCATAGCGGTTGACTATTCTTGTAGTTAACTTTGTTTGAGGTATTGATCCTTAAGATGATTAAAGGTTATTGATTTTGATTGTAATCTCACTCCAATGGCAGCTGAGAATCAGCTTGAGTAGGAGACTATCTAAGTGAGACGGGTTGCACAAGAGCAAGTTTAAGGTTATTTGCCTATTGGCTGTTACAAATGTTCAGTATGGAACACATTCTAGCACTTCAGTACGGTTACTTCTATACTTATATGGAGAGCTGCCCACATAGTACACCAGCATGAATTCTACTTATTCTGGCACTTACAATTTTGTAATATGTTATTATTTTTTTCTGATAGAGAGCTTTGTCCAATCATAGCTGAACGGATATGTCTCTAGTTATTTCCTTTTTTTGTTGAAAACAGATTCCATCAATGAAGTTTCTTTGGCTATGTATATGATATTTTGCTTGATATAGCACACGTTGTAGAGAACTTGATTGTCTTTTCTCCTTGAAGTCTCTAATAATATTTGAATAGTGCCAATTCTAGTCTTTTCAACTTTTTTGGCACGATAGACAAGCTGGACATGGTACCAGGAGCCTCTCCCATAGTTGTGTTTGGTGAGAGGTTGGGGGTTCGAATCCGTATGGGTGTGTGTGTTGGGTGCATGCGTTGTAAGGCCATATTATAAGGCCAATTATTTTTTTTGAAAAAGAAAAGAAAAGGAGTGCTGCTGTTATTCTAAGATTTTAAGTTAACTGCAAAAAAATTTATAACCATTTGCTTGGTGCTAGACTTAGATCCGAGGATTTTGACTTAGATCCGAGGATTTTCAGATTTCTCCTGAATATATTTATTTCCTTTACCTGTTGTCAGTATATACCCTCTGGACTCTTGATCATGCAATCTTAAAAGTCTCTCCATAAAGGCATGCAATGTTTATTTCATGGTTCTTGAAGCAAATGAAGGGTGATGTGATTTTATCTATTCCACGCGTTTAACTCTTCAAAATTAATACCAATTGTACTTGCCCTCTTTGAGTGTATACGCCTTCATAAGGTGGTCAGAGAAGGTCATTCAGATAAGTATATTTTCAGCTAGTATTTTACCATGCTTTTTATGGCTTCATCTACTTACGTGGTGAGTATAGATTAGCAATAAAATTGTAATGCATTTGCTACAAATGATGAGAGAAAATCTTGCTGAGACTCTGAAGATTCTCAAGTTTGAAATTTAAATATTTGTGGTGATTACCAACATGAGTTACCTATCCTGTTTAGGACGTGGGCTGATGTGTGGGTTATGTGATGGTATCTTGAAAGTCATCTTTGCTATCTGTCCTTTTACGGGCTTCTCCTGTGTGAAGTGTCAACTGTTTTATTTATGAAGAGAAATGAAAGTGCATATTTATTATGCTTGCAATTTTTGGTCAAACAAGCATTTTATGTAGGACCTCTTTCTAATCACAATCTTCCAACTATGACTGGATGTTTCTTATTTGTTTCTTCGAGGTTTTTTGCTGGTACTGAGATCTGCTTCTGTGATAATGTGTCATCCCATGCAGATTTTCGTCTGCTTGAGAAATTAGTACTTGCACAGGTCAACCAGCTATGAGGCATAGACACATGTTCAACACACCTCAGATTCCCGAGCCTGATGGTGATCAGGGATGGAATCGTGGACATCAACCTTACATGCCCATGGGTATAAAATCTCACTCTTTCACTTATGTGCCATTCTTTCATATTCACGACTTTCTTTTTATTGAAAGGGGGAAAGGAGCATTTGTTCTGTTATATCTCTCCCATTTTTGCCCATAGTAACAACTGATTTCTAGTTCATCTTTGTGGTTATTGAATGCCCTATTTACTATGAGGATATAGTCTTCTTAGCCACAGATAGGGGAAGAAGAGAAATTCGCTCATTATGGATTGTCTTAAATCAAGTAGGTGGGCGAAATTCCTTTAGGCTGATATTCATGAAATATAGGGCACCAGTTATGCAACTAATATATCAGAGGTTAGGTCTCTGTAGAAGTAACATTTCAATCATGCTTGTAATGTTCAGTTAACTTTTCTTTGTTTCCTTAAAAGTTTGCCTTATGCTACTTTTCTGTTCTCTGTATATATGCAGCAAGAGCTGGTGCTACTGGAAGCAGTTCTCTTGTTCATCCTGTGGAAAATATGACCAACCACAGTGGACCCTTTCCTTCTCCATTGTACCCTGCTACTGGGTCAAATGGATACTCTTCAGCCATGCTTAACGCTGAATTGCCACATCATCAACCACAGGCTCCAGGTCCATCTCATAATCATTTTCCGCACCAACCTCCTGCCAGAAATTTCCACATGGTCCCAGATAAATATTTTCATCACCCATCTTCGTCCAGCCTCAGTGGGCAGAGAGTCCCTGGAGTAGATGGCAGTTCTTACAATCAGACAATGAGCAGTGGCAGAGGAATGTACAAGCGTAAAAGCCCTAGCATGCCTCAGTTGTGTGACGGGGGTTATACAAGCAGATATTATGATGTTGGAAGCTCGTCAAATCCGCATCTAGGAGCTGACCGATCGCAAGAAAAGCAGATAAAAGAATTTTATCATACCCCTCGAGAGGAGTATCCTCCTCGTTACAGAGTTGATAATCTCTCTATTGGCGGTGAAGGTATGCCGAGAAATGTGAGAAGTAGAACTGGAGTTGAACTGGAACCCAATATACCTAGGACTCATAGGCCAAGCAATTCTTTCCATCGTTGCTTTTCTAGTGGATCGTCTGATCCGTCAAATTCAGTGGATTTCTGGGGGCAGAGTTCAAATGTACCAACAATGGAATGGAATCGTCATCTCGTACCACCTGCTAGTCATGGGTTGGCTTGTCCTCCAGGTAACTATTCATGGATTTATTACTTAGTGTAACATACTCATCTTATAGTAAAATAATTTTATTTTTCAATTTCAGATTCCAGTGTCTTCAATCACGTTCCCAACACCCAAAACACAGTAAACAGTTATGCTAATGGTTCGGTAGAGAGTGGGAGTTATAGCAATAATGCTACCTCAAATAGGAACCCTGTCCCTCAAAATGGTAACAGTAGCTTGAACCAACCTGTCAGAGGGATTCAAAGTGGTTTTGACCAAAGATCCATCCCAGCTTTCAGAGCTTCATCAAGCAACTTTCATCATGGGCAGGTAGGTCATTCAGATGAAGGGTCACAAATGGTGGCAGGACGTTATCCTTCCAGATATCCTAGGGCCCACTCTACCATAAGATTCCGTACCAGTGAAAGACATGGGAGAACTGGGATATCAAGTGACAGATATAGACCATTTACTGAGGAGGCAAGTCTCCGTCATCATATGACACCAGAGGTGCGCATGTTGTCGGAAAAATCATCATATCTTCTCATGAATGTTATTAGTATGCGGACTGCGACATTATATTTCTCACTTTTTGACAGCTTAGTGAATTCTGTCAAATTCGGTGGTGTCTTTTCCGCATGCCATTGTTTAAAATTCGTGTTTTGTAGATATTGATGTTTACTATACGTTGAATGTGTGCAGTCTGGGCCTGACCTGTTCTCGTCTTGTCTGTTGGCTGTACGGGACTCTAAAGTTCTTTTGGTTTATTTAGCAATTATTTTATCACATGAAAATTTCCAAAATTTCAGAACGAAAAAGTGTAAATTGCAGAGAAATGAGAAACAGAAAAATGTGGAATAATGAGTATATATTTTTGTCTAAGTTGTGTAATATCAACGAAGCTTATATATCTGTTATACGATCTACATCCTCTATAGAATTTGTTAGATGTAATTTGCATGTGTGTATGTTCTTTGATAATTGAAGGATGACGGCGTATGCACGCCTGGATGAGCTGATAGTTTAATGTTCCAATATAACTATATAGAGTTGATAATTGGAGTTTGGAAGTTCCAGAAAAAAGTTGAGATTGGAATTGCTTCTTCGAATATACAATACAATACATGCCTGCAAGGAGTGCACCCGTTTATGACGTATTGCAACCTCATGTTTGAAGATATCTGCACATAGGATGTTCCCAACTCGTCTATCTTATGTAGTAGTTGTGTGATTATCGAGGAATGATGTTTCATTTCAATACATTTCTAGCTTAATAGAATGTCATTCGGATATTTCTCCATACTCTTTCCCTCATTCGTGTGGCTTTATTTCAGGGTCTCATGGTTGTGGACCAGTCAACATTTTCTGGATCGAGAACCCTTTTTGATCAACACATGGACATGAGACTTGACATCGACAATATGAGCTATGAGGTGCATGATACTCCATTTTTCTTCTAAATGAATTTGTAATTTCTTTTACTTCTACGATAATTTTATATGTTACTAGTTTTCGTCTTAGTTACTGAAACATAAGCGATTGACATGAGCAGGAGCTCCTTGTACTGGGAGAGAGAATCGGAAGTGTCAGCACCGGCTTGTCTGAAGATTTAATTTCAAAATGTCTGACCGAGTCCATATACTATGTACCGGACCAACTTCAAGACCATGGAAAATGTGTCATTTGTCTGGTGAGACTCTCTCATATTGCAATTCATAGAGGACCAACTGGATGTTGAATTTGATTTTCGTTCGGTATACATCTGAGAAGAATTCCCCCCTTTGTTTAATTGTGTTAACAGGATGAATACAAAAACATGGATAATGCTGGGGCTCTGAAATGCGGGCATGATTTTCACGTGGGATGCATTAGAAAATGGCTATCGATAAAGAATTCATGTCCGATCTGCAAGGCATCTGCTGTGGATGACAGCGTCAAGGACAAGTCATCTACTTGAATTAGTCTCAACTTTTTAATGGTTTTCGTTTCGAAATATTCCTTAAAAATTGTCGAAGACGATCGACTTTTGAATGCAGATAGATAGATGTTCTTACCAGTTACCATGTATAATAGTACTCACTCACTACCTGTTGTCCTAATGTTCATTTCTTCATTTTACAAATATGGAATATTTTACTTTTTTAGAAGAAAAAAAATGGCCTAAAAGCATACACCAAGAAACATTTGAATTCTAATGGAGAAAAATATTCACTTTAAAGTTTAAATTTAAGAGTAAATTACACCTGCACCTCTGAGGTATGCTAAAATAATTTTAAGGTCCATGTACTATTGGTAATCACAACCACACCTCTGAAACAATTACCGGAGCTAAAATTTCATGTCTTTGGGACCGATATGCACTATATTTTCGTCTATGATAGCATTAACGGCCCCGCGAGAAATAAATATAGTGCATATTGGTCCCAAAGACAAGAAATCTTGGCTCCGGTAATTATTTCAGGGGTGATTGTAATTACCGATACTATATGGACCTTAAAGTTATTTTTAGCATGCCGGGGGCGTAGGTATAATTTACCCTAAACGCATATGACTTTTTCGTATTACGCGTATTATATATACTCTTATGAGTAACCTGGCCTTCCTTGTAACAATTCACGCTACAAATGAGGATGCAGATCTTTGTGAAAACCCTGACCGGAAAGACGATCTCTCTCGAGGTGGAGAGCTCCGACACCGTCTACGGCGTCAAGGAGAAACTAAAGGACAGGGATTTAATTTCGTCGCCTCATCTGGCCAGGCTGATTTACGCCGGGAGAACTCTCGAAGACGGCAGAACCCTAGCGGACTACAGTATTCGTAAGGAGTCGACCCTGCACTTGGTTTTGAGGTTGCTAGCATGCGGCTCGCAGATCACGGTGGAGAGTTCGACCGGATTCACCGTCACCTTGAGAGCGTGCCTCAGCAGCACAATCGACTATATCAAAAAGATGATCCAGGAGAAGCAAGGCGTCCCCGTAGATCGTCAGATTCTGACCTTTGATCACAAGGTGCTCGACGATATGCGCAGCCTAACCTTTTACGAAATTCGCCACGAATCCACCCTGCACCTATCGGTTCGGGTGAAGATTTATGTGATTAGTAGCATGATGGGATATCGATTCAAGACGATCCCCCTGGACGTTGAGAGTTCCGATACGGTGGCCGACGTCAAGGCGGCTATCCACGGCACGAGGGGCATTCCGGTAGCCGATCAGGTGCTGGTGTTCGAGCACAAGTGGCTTGAGGATTCGCGCACTGTTGGAGAATGTAATATCGTCGAAGATTCCACCTTGTTCCTTGTTGTTTCGAGCTCGCATCGTCTGAAGATGAAGATGAAGATTCGGGTGGAGGTGGATGATGGATTCTCATTCATGTTAGATGTTGAGGGTTCAGACGCAATCGAAAGTGTGGTGGGGAAGATCTATGAAAAGGAACACATTCCGATAGCTTATCCGGCGCTGATGTTCGAGCAGAAGCGCCTCGTATTGGATAAGCAGCTCACGCTCGCTGATTACAATATAGAGGATGGCTCGACCGTGCGCCTCGTCCGTTCTGACTAGTGGATGCAGCATCTTATTTTTATCACCATTGTATGTTTCCAAATTTCCAGAATAAAGAAGGTTGAAATTGCAAAGAAATAAACAAATAAATTGTGGAACAAATATTTTTTTGTGTATATATATATATATATATATATATATATATATATATATATATATATATATATATATATATATATATATATATATTAGAACATCGATAAATTAATACCCGATAAATTAATAATCTTACTTAAATAATAAATTTTTCTGGTCCCGACTCGGGAACAACGTGCTAAATTAATAATTCGTTAAATTTATAAGATAATACACATTCTAAAACGTTAAGAAACCCCATATAATATATAAATTAATAATGCATAAAAATGGTTATATAATTATGTGTCAGCTTGTTTCTTGTTCAACTTCACATTACCATCAACCTCGTCCCTCACTTTAGTTAACATGGTTAGAATTTCGGTATAGTTTTCTCATAGCTCAACATAAAATCATTCTATACCATTACTGCTTTAAGAGCTTCCATTCGTGAAACGGACTCTATAGTGCATTGAACTAATAGTACAATGAACAATATACACGTGAAGAGTTCGACTGGATTCACAATCCACTTATGCGTTTGCACCAACACCACAATCGGTGGAATCAAATCGACGGTCCACGAAAAGAAAGGCATTCCCCCAATTCAGCAGATACTTTTCTTCGGCAACATGCAGCTCGACGACCACCGCACACTCGCCGATTACGGTATCGGCAACGACTCCACCCTGCGCCTCTCCGTTACGAGTTTCCCGATTTCGGTGGTCAGCGTGTCGGGATCGATCACTTTAGAAGTTAAGTTTTCCGACACGGTGGGCGATGTCAAATCGGAGATCCATAAAAGGGTAGGCATTCCGGCCGTCGACCAGGTACTCGTCTTCGAGGATAAATGGCTCGACGACAACAATCGCACCCTTGCCGATTGCAATATGGAGAGCGATAATTCGGTTATCCGCCTCTTAGTTTCGAGGTTGCGTGGCGTGATGAAGATTCGTGTCGAGAGCGTGAGCGGAACGATCACCACCTTAGTGTCAAGGCAATGATCCATCGAAGGGAAGGCATTCCGGTAGCTAATCAGATGGTGGTGTTCAACGGGAAGTGGCTCGAGGATTTTCGAACGCTTGCAGATTGTAATATCGTCATGGATTCGACGTTGCACCTTTTTGTTTCGAGCTGGAAGATGAAGATTTGGGTGGAGGTGGAGATTGGTGGGGATAATGGATTCTCGTTCGCGTTGGATGTTGATGGTTCGGACACGGTCAAAAGCGCGGTGGGGAAGATGTACGAAAAGGAACACATTCCGATAGCTTATCCGATGCTGATCTTTGAGCAGAAGCCACTCATTGATAAGCAGCTCACATTGGCTGAGTACAATATCCAGGATGGCTCCACCGTGCTCCTCGTGCGTGCCGACTAGCGGATCGATGGAGCATCGATTTGGACACGGCGGCATGGTAACAAACGCATTCTCATAGGTTGAGCACAAGGAGATCAAAGTACATACTGTTTTTTAAGGGTGCATTTGGATGGAGGGATTTGGGGGAGGGATTTCAAATCCATAATAACAAATCCTTCGGAGTTGTTTGGATTGAGGGATTTGGAGATGGATTTCAAATCCCCACCCCTCCTTTTTAGTTGTTTTTGAAGCAATAGTGATGGATTTCAAATGACTTCAAAATTGGAATCATTTCAAATCCATTCCCCAAATCAAATCCCTCCCCAAATCCTTCCATCCAAATGGACCCTAAAAGAATATATAAATATCAAAAAAAAATTCTAGGATTGAACTTTTTCAAAAGAATTTTATAATTTGTTATAACCTTAAAGAATTTAGGTGGTGTTTGCAAATGATTATTTAAAAGCAGAAGTTACTGATTGTGATTTAAGTTAGTTTTAAGTGCTTATTTTTAAAAGTTGTGGGTGTTTGCAAATATTCCAGAAAATGAACTTAAATAGAAAAAGCAGGGTTAGGGGTGCTTTTAAAAAAGTAGCTTAAAGCAGATTATTTTAAGAGAAGCAAAAGCAAAAGTTGATTTTGCAAACACGTAAAAACAGATTATGAGCAAAAAAAACCGCATAATCACTTTCAAAAAGCATTTGCAAACACCACCTTAAAATAAAAAAGTAAAAAATGAATATTTTGGTATTCCGAATAATGAAAGAAAAAAATAAATATTTCGGTATTCGATATGGTATAGCGGGCATTAATACAACGGGGACAGAGATCTAGAGAGCCCAAATAAAAGTATTTGAAATTGGGCTAAAAGTAAAGAAAGGAAGGCCCAATTATAAACTGAAAAACATTATAAGGCCCAAGTTGAAAACGAAGTAATAAAAAACTTAAATGGGGCATTCCGAGAATTGAACTCGGGACCTCTCGCACCCTAAGCGAGAATCATACCACTAGACCAAATGCCCATGATGTTACAATAATGCCTTAGAAACATTATTACTCAATTATGTTGGATCTATTAAATGCAAATAATTGAATATTATAACGTGTAATATAATGTTAATTGAGAAGAAACAAAAGCACTCACAAACAAAAAGGAGAGCCTACAAACCCTTGCGTGCTAAAACTTATTTTACTTTTTATTCATAGTACCAAAGAAAATTTAACCACACATTGATTATCCTATTTTAGATTTAAAATCATAATATATAGTTTCTATAATTTTGTAGCAATAATTAATTCAAAAAAATGGGAAAATAAGCTAATGGGCTTTTGGATGTTTAATAATAAAAAAAAGTGTAGATCCTTTTTGTAAACCCAAGATCTGATTTTGCTAAACCACCAAAACGACATCACTTTTATTAAGGTCTTAAATTCCGTGACTACTCACTCATCAGTTACGACATCCCCAAAAAAAAAAATTAAGACAAATAAATCTAATCTAACGGCTATCCCTAAAATTTTTATCAATTCCCAAATATGCCCTCCACGATCTCCAATCCTTCATTTCTGCCCCAAAAACAAAATATTCCTAGAAAACAAGGACAAAACTGCTAACGTTGGAACTGCGTAAACCTATATCGTGGGTCTTTGTTTATTTTAAGACAACTGATCAAAATCATATATTACCGTTTCATCAACACGTGGCGCTCACTCGTCTTCTCCGATCCCCCACCACCGTACCACCTCCATTTTATTCACACCCACTGTGTGTAAATATTCAGGACCACTGTTTCTCTGATGGGGTGGTTCTGAAATCTAAATACTAGTTATGGAATCACTTTCCGGCGGTTTTTCTTTTGCTTCGATCCTTGTAGCTCATGTTGTTGTTTTAGTTTTCTTTTCCTCCGGTGGGATTTTGGCGGTGACGGAATTTGACTTCGGAACGTTGACTCTTACGCGCCTTAAGCTCCTCGGAGACGCCCACTGGACCAACGGGAGCGTGCGTCTCACGCGCGATCTAGGTGTGCCGTACTCTGGCTCCGGGAAGGTTCTCTACTCGAAGCCGGTCCAGTTCCGGCGGCCGGGGGAGCAATCTCCGGCGAGCTTCTCCACGTTCTTCTCGTTCTCCGTCACTAATCTGAACCCGTCGTCCATCGGAGGCGGGTTGGCTTTCGTCATATCGCCGGACGACGAGTTCGTCGGAGATTCCGGCGGGTTTCTAGGAATCATGGACGCAAGGAGGTCCCGGAAAGGCGTCGTGGCGGTGGAGTTCGACACTCTGATGGACGTTGAATTCAACGACATCAACGGCAACCACGTGGGCCTCGATTTGAACTCAGTGATTTCGGCCCGAGTTGGCGATTTGGAAACGGTCGGCGTCGATTTGAAGAGCAATAATCTGATAAACTCGTGGGTCGATTACTTCGGGTCGACCCGTTTGCTCAAAGTGTACGTTTCGTATTCCAATTCGAAGCCCAAATCCCCCATTCTATCCGCCAATTTGGATCTCAACAAGTATTTAATAAACGATTTCGCGTTCGTTGGGTTCTCCGGGTCAACTCAGGGGAGCACAGAAATCCACACCATTGAGTGGTGGAGCTTCACCTCGTCGTTTGATGCCAACCCGGCCGCACCGCCGCCGCCGCCGCCGACGGGTAGTTTAATGAATCCGACAGCTGATAAAGCCAGCCCACCGCCACCCTCCCCCGCACCGGAGGCTAACAGCAGCAATACGACGGCGTACGAACAAAAAAGTAGTGGGAAGTGTCACAATCACCTCTGCAAAGATGCTCCCGGAGCCATCGTCGGAGTGGTAACCGCCGGTGCTTTTTTCTTGGCATTTTGCGCCCTTGCATTCATATGGGCTTACAATAAAAAATTCAAGTCCGACAAAAAAAATTCAGACACAATATTAGCTTGTGACGTGATCAAAATGCCCAAGGAATTCACCTACAAGGAGCTCAAATCCGCCACAAAGGGATTCGACTCGAATCGAATAATCGGGCAAGGTGCATTCGGCACCGTCTATAAGGGCATCTTGGCCGCCACGGGCGGCACCGTGGCGGTGAAGAGGTGCAGCCACAATGGACAAGGGAAGGCGGAGTTCTTCTCCGAGTTGTCGATTATCGGAACCCTAAGGCATCGGAACCTCGTTCGACTCCAAGGTTGGTGCCACGAGAAGGGCGAAATCTTATTGGTCTACGACATGATGTGTAATGGGAGTCTAGACAAGGCCTTGTTCGAATCGAGAATGACGTTGTCTTGGTCTCATAGGAAGAAGATTTTGCTCGGTGTGGCTTCCGCGTTAGCCTATTTGCATCAAGAATGCGAAAATCAAGTGATTCATAGAGATATCAAGAGTAGCAATATTATGTTGGACGAAGGGTTTAATGCGAGATTAGGAGATTTCGGGTTAGCTAGGCAAGTCGAGCACGATAAATCACCCGATGCCACGGTGGCAGCTGGCACAATGGGGTACTTGGCCCCCGAGTACTTGCTGACTGGGCGGGCGACCGATAAGACGGACGTTTTCAGCTATGGGGCGGTGGTGCTAGAGGTGGTGACTGGGCGGCGGCCGATAGAGAAGGGGGTGGTTTCGGGTGGGGTGGGGGTGGGGGTGGGGAGTAATTTGGTGGAGTGGGTGTGGGGGTTGTATAGGGAAGGGAGGTTGATGGAGGCGGTTGATCGGAGGCTTGGCGGTGAGTTCGATGGTGAGGAAATGGGGCGGGTTATTTTGGTCGGATTGGCGTGTTCGAACCCGGATCCGACGGGTCGACCCGTTATGAGGAGTGTTGTTCAAATGCTCGTGGGGGAGCGTGATGTGCCCGTGGTTCCGAAAACGAAGCCTACATTGAGTTTTAGTACGTCGCAATTGATATTGAGTTTGCAAGATAGTGTTAATGATTTGAATGAGATGGTTACTATTTCAACCACCTCGTCGGAAACTAGTTTTATCGGCGGCGGTGGTGGCGGTGGCGGCAATGGTAGCTACTCCGATCTTGTGTGATATGTTTAATTTATTAGTAATGTATGTATTCATTGATTTATAGAAGAAGGTACCTATGTATTTAACACGAATAACCTAAGATAGGATGGGGTTCATGTATCCATTGTTCTGTCACATGTAAACAAAATTATTGTGTAATAAACTATAATATAAATTGAAATTGAAAAAAAAGAAATACTATTTGAAAGAGATGTATGATAGGTGATAGTCATTTTCTTGAATATATAGTTGGATAGTAGATTGCTCTTTTATTGAGGGAGGGTGGGTGGTTGCTTTCTCAAGTAACACACCCCATAAGTCAAAAGCCAATACATAATAGAGTTTTGAGTAGTGGTTTGGTAAAGTGGAAGTGATAGTATGGGCAGAAGAAAGGAATACCGTTTCAACTTCAAATATGATTTTCACTATTATTAAGAATGAATTTGGCATAACTAAAAAAACGGAATTTATAGTTCTGTCAGTTAGCTTTCTAATCTAATTTAAATCACCAAGATTGGATGTCGGGTGGGGAATATATGCATAAACCAATTAACACAACTATATTTTTTTGATATTTTGAGTTATCTAAAATTTAAAATGTAATTCATTTGATGCATAACTTTGTCGCACTGATATCCTTTCTAGTTGATTCAAGTTGGTTTACAAAGCTATCACAAAGAACTACATCTTTTTTTTTTTTTGAATTTTACCAAAACTAGTCTAAAAATGGTCAAAATCACGTTCGCGGTGAAAATAACATTATAAAATTGAAACGACATTTAACGTTTCAGCTTGTGTTAAAAAAAGTTACAACTCTCGATTAAAAAGTGCTCGATTTATGTGTGAACGAATGATATAGTAATATACCCAATTAATATAATTACAAGTAGTTAAAGTGTAAAACTTTATAGTAGTCTAAAAATTAGTACTTGTTTTATATATATAAAGGATAACCTTTCGTTTGGGGTGTTTCTCACATTAATTAAAAAGTGTACAGTCATTCCATTACCCACTGAACAAACTAAAGCACCCGTGAAAGTTTGTCTGTGCTAAAAAATATGAGCTTTCACTAAGTAATAATTAATTAATTAATTAATTAATAAGCAAGGTTCGTGTTAAAGTAACTGCACATGCACACAATTTCCATCAATTATCTTGTCCCACTCAGTTTGTAACGTTATGGGTATATATATCTTTTGGCACCAAATATTTATCGTGATTATAAATATTTTAAAATTATTACTTAATATCTTTTACAAATGAATTCTCATGCCTAAAATCCATTTTTAAATGTTTTTCAAAATAATTAGTATTTAATTAAAGAATTGGGCTAAAAGTTTGAGTCTTGTATTCGTTGCCCAACTGTAACTGTAATTGGTCCATAAGATAAGCCCAACAAAGCCCAAAGGAAAAAGCAGCGCTAAGTATGGGGGTCAATTCATAAATAAGTTTTTTTGGGCTTCAAAAAACCATGGGGGTCAATTCATAAATAAGAAATAGTAAAAGACCTAATTATAAATTTTCCATCTCTAATTAATAAAACACGTCACTCGTCCAATAGAAGACCCTGAATTGTCCACTCTGGCAACAATTAGTGTCAATTACTCTTATATCTCTTATCTTCTTCCTTCTATCTAAATAAATTAATTAAAAAAACAAAAAATAAAGGGAGGGCTATGGCAGATGCTGGTTTCGATCGCGTTCCTCCGTCGTTTGATCGTGTGGTATTTCTTCATTCTCTCTTGGATCTTATATTTAAATATTTTAATTTAATTTTTTTAGATCTATTTTTTTTGGGTTCCAAATCGATTCCACTTAATTTATCGTGTAGTCTGGGGTTTTATGGAAATGCTCGCCTCGATTGATCATTGATGCATTTTTTGTTGCATGCAATTGTTTATCTGAATTCCTCTCTGTGTGTGTAATCAGAGGGAATATGATTGTTTGACAGTGTTGTCTCATATTTTATCTTAATTATTTATGGTAAAGTCTGGAACTTGGCTTTTGTGATGAGAATTATGAGGAAGAACAAAATTCCAGCATTTTTGTTCTAAGTGAACTAGTAATCAATGTTAAAATAAATTTAATTAGGACTTGCGAGGAATTATATCTTTTTAATCGAGAAAATATTGGTGCTGTTCTTTCAAGAATATAATCAAGTAACGTGTTTGTAACAATGTGTATTAGAGAAATAAAGCAATACATGCACAAGTTTATGTATCTAGCATCTAAATGGAGATTCCTGGCCAGATGTGCTCAATTTGCCGTTTTCGAGGATTTTTTAGTTCGATAGGAGGCCTTTTTACGAGCTTCAATTGTGTTTATATATAGCAATAAACCGTAGTTTATCAGCAATTAAGCATTCTTATGAAAGAAGATTCTAAGTTCCAACATTTTTTTGTGAAAAAAAAGGATACGAAGTTGAGTTACGCATCGTCATTTTACTTTGAACTAAATGGTTATGTCGGTGCTTCTGATCTGAATCTTGTGATATATTTGTTGTGTTGCATATATCCTAACTTGTGGCTGCTTTATTCGAAAATATAATTCTTCTGATAATCGGCACGAACAGAAAAATGCAGCAGGGGGTGGTGTTGAAGCTCAAGGATTGAACCCAGGATTGATTGTGTTACTCGTTGTCGGTGGACTGCTTCTGTCATTCCTCATCGGAAATTACGTGCTATATGTTTATGCCCAAAAGACCCTTCCTCCCAAGAAAAAGAAGCCCATCTCCAAGAAGAAGATGAAGAAGGAGAGGCTTAAGCAAGGAGTATCAGCACCCGGCGAATAGATGTAATTTGTTTCTTCTTTCCCTTACAAATTTGAGTCGGCTGTTTTCTCTAGAGATCGCGCGTAAAATACTTTATATTTTGTTTTGTATTAGACAAGTACAAAAAAATTAGTTATCGTTTATTTAACAAAGTTTGTGACGATCGAACATTCAAAAAGAAAAACTAAAAATGCGTTTCTTACATTTGTGAAAAAGTCGGTGGAAACATTGTAACATAGCATACTTAAAAAGTACAGAGAGGTTTGTATAAACATGTGATAAGATAAGAATACATCACAGCACTACTGTTTGGCCATGGTCTGACCGCCAGGTGGAAACATGACCAAAACGGGCTGGGATGTAGCGAGCGCAGGATGAGGAAGCCGACGACGAACCTCGCGGGCTTCTTGGCAAAGGGCGCATGCATGGCAGAATACATGTGTCACAAAATCACAGGCCGATTCACACTGCTCTCGTTGATCCTCATCCATCAAAAGACTTCCCCCACAGCATCTTGTAACTGCCTCACAACTTCCCTGTCATGTATTAAAAAAAACGTACGATCATACAACAATTAACCCAGTTCGTGTTTATTTGGACAAGAGAAAATTTATTAAAAAAACGAACCTCTAAATTAAACTTGTGACGAATGGATGTACGATTGGGATAAGAGAACCAGGGGGCGAGGCAATTCCAGCCGAAAAAACAATTACCGAGTAAGTAAAGACCGGTGTATGGCAAACAGTGATTAGCAAATGTACCAGGTGCGGATCCGAGCCTCTCTACATTACTTCCATGGAGCACACATGGAGCCATACTACCTAGTAAACCTGCTCATTTTCACTACTATCAAACATCCGTAGTCGAAAAATATCGAAAATACAGACATCTGTAAAAACAAATGTACTCAAAAGATTTTCTACTTCAAACTGAAAATTTCATCCAGTATGTAAAAACAAAACTAAGAGATCAAATTAGCTCGAGTACTAATGAAATTTGTTCGCAGTTAGCACAAAAATCGTAAAATCTTTTGATCGGGAAGATTATCCATGATTAATTAAATAATACAAATGTTTGATGTTTGGTATCCCCAGTCACTTGTCGGATCGACCGACAATATTATGTTATCACGACTTGTCTTGCCTTCTAGGCATATTTTTTACTGGATCATCGAATGTCCAATAATATAATTTTAATTAGTAGATTGTTTAATCTTATCTTCGAAACCAAACGAGGACTTAGCATACAAAATTTACTTGACAAGAAAAATCAGGAATTAGTGTACAAATTTAAAATGCTTAACCTAAATCAAATAGATCACCAATCTTCAAATAAAAAAAAATTTAAGAAAAAAATATTGGCCGTAGGAAAAATAGATAATTTGAAAAAGAAAAAGGAAAAACTCACAAACTTCAAGATCACTGCTGTAGAACTCATCGTTCTTTCCAAGGCAAGAGAAGATGCCGGATTGCCATTGGGACCTCTGCATCATTGGATCACCACACACCGGCACCCCATCAGCCGTCCATCCTATCGGCACCGCCGAAGGCGGAGCTCCGACGTCCTTGGCGGTGGCTGTGGCGGTGGTGGAAGATTTCGTTTCATGCTTGGTCTCAGATCCTTGTTGCTCTTGATTCGGCAGAAGCTCGTACTTTGCCTTTGCCATTTTGGAAATGAAAAATACTGCACAAATAATTACAAAAGGGGGGAATTATAATTGGAGAGATGGGCTTGTGGATAAAGCTCTCTCTCTCTCTCTCTCTCTCTCTCTCTCTCTCTCTCTCTATCTACCTTCTCTCACCGGCGGCCTCACGGTGGTTGTACGCCGATTGATTCAATTTATGAGGATTTTAGTTTTTTTTTCGTTTTTATTTACCGTTGAATTGAATGAAGGAAGGCGAGTGGCGTACCGCACAATTAGATGTTAATTCGTGTTTTCTATTACTAGTTAATTAATGACTTCATTGACCCGATAATTGTGGGTTGACTTTTTGTCCGTGACCTTATTTTTTTGGGTAATTTACGAAAACCCCCTAAACTTAGATTAAATTACAAAAACAACCTCCACCTATTCGTAATTATCAAAAACCCCCTGAGATTTGTTTCGGTCTTACACCAACCTTTGAATGTTTCACGGATTTTTTTTTCTTTGATTTCAGAGAATAGACTTTACACAATTTCACACAATTTCAGATATTTTCTTTTATTTCTCACCTATTTAACAGCAAGTACAATAGATTGTACGCATTTTCTGTTAAAAAATTAAGTTACATCTGTTTACTTTGGCTAAATTACCGTCACGCGTGAGGTTAGGTCAAGTTTACGGAAAAACCCCCTTCATATTTGGGTAATTACAAGCATTTTCCAACTATAAATCTTATTAAACATCCACCCTTACGGCTTAAATTCAACAGAATTTTCTAGATTTCGTGGAATGTTCTCTAATTTGTACTCGTTTTGTGCAAAAATACAATTTCTTGATGCACAACAATCTGATATTTACAAGCAAATAGCCACATCTTATGATCATCTTGTTTCAAAATGTGGAGCTCGAATGAGATAAAACGAGTACAAACTGAAGAATATTCTGCATAATCTAGAATATTCCACTAAATCTGAGGGGTAGTTGTAAATACCCAAACATGGAGTTTTTCGTGATAAGAAAATTTAATTGCATGCTTAGGTTTCAATTTTGATATGATTTGAGTAAGTTATCCTACTAATTGTTGAATGACCATCTCAACCAAAAGTTTAAGCTTTTAGTGAAATGTATCATTTAATATTAATATCTCCAATACGCCCCCTCAAGTGCATACGAATTACATTTGAAGCCATAACCTTTCATTTGGTCTGGCTCTAATACCATGTTGAATGGTCATCTCAACCAAAAGCTTAAGCTTTTAGTGAAATGTATAATTTAATATTAATATCTTCAATACTAAATAATCAATAAAACTTAATATTAGGATATATTTACCATAATATAATGATTGTAGCAATTGAAAAACTGACACGTATTAACTATTAATATTGAGAATCAAGAAACTGTTGATCTAATCCTCAAATTTATGGTGTAATATTAATAAGGCAAAATAAATTAAAGGTGTCGATTGATTACAAGAATCGCCAGTGTAAATAAATGTGGCTTTCCATTTCAATAAACAGAACACTGTTACTACTTAGCTATATATTATAGAATCATAATCACAACTTAAATATGCAAATTTCATCCAAACTACTTAATTCTATATTGCTGGATCGGATAAAATAAAATAAAATAAAACCCTCTGGATCAATCAGCCCACAATCTTCTTTCCCTGAAAGCATAATTTAATACAATTAATCAAAGCATGAAAGTAATTATTACAAACAACATTTTTTTAAATGTAATTAATTAGATTGATGATCCTTACATTAATTGGTTGAGATTTGTGACGGGCGGCCGTGGTGGTTTTGTGGTGGACTCCGGGGCGGCCGCCGGCTCGATTGGGTGGTGGAAGGTACGTGTGGGTTTCCGGACCTCTATAATCAATCTCGTAAATAATATCCGATGATCCCATTTTCTTCACATGCAAACTCCTCCCTGCAAATTAAATTTATTTAAAAACCACCATATATATATATATTAATTAATATTAGTAAAATTCGATGAAACACGTAACGAAGTAGAAAATAACCTCGTGAAAAGCCCGGCCCGGGGAGGAGGAGAAGCACAAGTAGAGTAGCAATAACACTAGCCTTGATCAGCTCCATTTCTTTGTTTGGTAGATTTGTTTTATTGTATAGTGATAAATGTAGAAATGGGAGATTTGATTTAATGATGAGGAATATAGATATGAAAAAAAAATAGATTATATTGAAAAATAATAATGATAATAAGATTAATGATGAGGGAAGAAGAGAAGAAGAAGGTAGCATGGATGGTGGGAGTTAAGGTGTTGTTTGGAGAGAGGTTTTGGGAATTGATATTGAAATTGAAATTGAAATTGAAAGCGTCACCATCTGCCCAGCAATTGATTGGGATTGGGTGGGCTGGAACATTTAATTATGATTTATGATTCATGTATTTATCTCCCCTTTTTTGTACTCTGTTTGGATCTACATATATACATACACCAAATTTCATGAATTCGGTAACTAAATTATGTCAGTAAGAGTCAAGTACAGCATTTTATCCTCTAAAGTTATAATTTACCTTATGTATATATATACTCTTTAATTAATTAATTAATTAATTCCATGTTTTATTCTTGAGTTTCTGCAAATTAAATAATGATGAAAAAGATAAAATGAAAAAAAAAAAAAAGAATAAATAATATAGTAATGGACAAATGCATGTGTGTGTATTATTGAGAAAATGTGTTAAATAAAGGACAATAATATTGAATTACTTTTGGCTGGATTTCACTACATAGATACCCTAATTTCATATTTCTTTCAACTCAATGTCCAATTTTCTGCAATCAAACCCCATTGGCATTTTTGTAATTTTCTGCATGCATAACCACCACAACACTACATTATGGAGCCTCATAATTAATATGCTCCCCCATCATTTCATGACGATATATAAATAATTAATTTTAAAGTTTCTTTAAAGCAATATAATATCATTATTATTTATTTTTTCTTGTGTCTGATCGAATGTAGTGGCGTGCAGATTAGATGAAATCTGGTGTGAGATCTTCGATAAAACATGGTTGGGAAATTATTTAATGCACTGCGTGCTGTAAGAGAGGACCATGCATACAATAAAGTCTTGCATGAAATTCATTCATTCAATTTTGAAAACAAATTCGTTCGTACTACTGTAATATATATATATATATATGAGGGTATAAATAATAGTAGTATGGGCAAACAAAAAAAAAGAAAAAATGAGAAATTCATTAAGTTAGACCTAACACGAAGATAGGCGCATGTTAGGTTAGGTTATGACATTTATGAAACCCTAGCTAGCACATCATCACATATTTTTGTTTCATATATTTAATTTCCCCGACAAGTTTATTTGATTTACAGGGTTTTATTTATTTATTATTATTAATTAAGGGCCCCGAATTGTAAAGGCATTAATTGGATCGACATGTCCCTGGATTACATAAATGGTCCTTTTTTTTTTTATTTTTTTTTCCAGTTACATTTGAATTGTATAATCTGAAATCATTAAATTTGGTTCTCACTTCGGATCGTCCACTTTATGATGAAAAAATATATATATCGAATTAATCGCGAATAATATTTTAATTGTAATTGAATTTGGACCGAAATCGGACTCTTGGGTAGTGTGCCAATAGACAACTACCGAAGCCCATTTGTTTTATTTTTTAAAAGCTACCCAGGCCCAGTTATACTCTCTTCTTCATTCTCGTTTGCGTACCACATCGAGAAAATAGAGATTTAGTGTTTATTTTATATAGAGGAGGAGGAGAAGTATAGATTGTCCCTTCGGGGACATCCGATAAAATTGGAACGATACAGAGAAGATTAGCATGGCCCCTGCGCAAGGATGACACGCATAAATCGAGAAATGGTCCAAATTTTTTTTTTCTTTAAAAATCTTGATTTTTGGCTTTTTTCTTTTTTTCCTTCTTTTTTTTTTTAAATAAAATCATGAAAATTAGAGTGTAAACTAGAAAATTTGTAACTTGTAAGCATTACAATTTACAAGCCAATTTAAATCAACCAAAATCTGTTTCAAAAAAATAAAATTAAAAATCAACCAGATTAGAGTGTAAAAACTATCACAGTTTATCTAGCCATTAAAATTAATTCAATGGGATTTTTTTTTTTTTTTTTTTTATCATGATTCAGATCGAATATCAAAATTTGCAAAGCACAAGAGTTATAAATTTTTACAAGGTTTAAGTTCTTGTTTTAAAACAAGGAGAAAGAAACAAACATGTTAACTAACTGATGCCATCTCAAAAGGAATAAAAGTCAAACAACTACATCCTTGTTCAACACTGTACTAAACATGGTTATCATAATATATTTACCAACACTTAATCATCTGATTATTATTGCAGCTGCTAATCTTCATCTCCTCCCCACTTGCTTGTTAATGAAACAATCTCATTCAGATCAACATACGTTTGATTAATATCCGATTGTTTGTTTCATCCCAACCATCGATTCCGTCACATTCTCCTCAATCCCATCTCTTGCTTTCACATCCTCTTCTTTGTCCTCAATTTCTTCATCTGCAAATTGAAAAAAAAATGAAGGGTCAAAATCAAATAACTACACTCAAAACATATAAAAGAAGTATTCGAGAAAAAAAAAATAGTTATTTTTTTTCATGCCTGATGCACTTGCTAATGAAAATTCAGTTAGACGTTTAACGCAATCTTTGAGCGCTTCGAGCTCTGCTTCTTTCTCGTGTAGTTTAGAGTGTGCGTTATGCAGCTCTGCCTCCAACTCCACTATCTGACTTTCTTGTTGCTCGATTAGCAAATGGCACAATTTCGTATCCAGTTCGTCTGGCAACACTCCATCAGATTTAACTTCTTTCGCCAAAATTTCAGCCTGCATGATATGAAAACTTGTTCTTGACGAAATATTCAAATGAAATGAAAATGCAGATGAAATTACTAAAAAAAAAAAAAAAAATTTGCCTCGAAAAAATCTGGTCTTCCTTCGGAACCCGAACTTGCTGTGGCACACCACGGAAGCTTCTGTAGTTCGGACTCGAGTTCTGCTTCCAATTGATCCATTTCCATCACTTCAGGATTAGGGGATAATGGATCGCTGTAGCATCTTTTAATATGTTTTTTATTTTTTCCGGATTCATTTAAAGCTATAGAAGAAGTGTGCTCGTTTTTCCTTGTCGATATTTCAGATTTCAATTCTTGAACAATCTTTGCAGTCTCGTCCATCGCACAGTTCAACTTACTGATTTCGGCTTTACCAGCAGACACCACATACATCATTCCAATACCGACTCCCAAACCAAATGAACTGTCTGAAAAGCAAGGGCACAAAAGGAATTAACAAATTTAGACGACGGCCACCGAAATGTTTTTCTATCTTACACTAAATTGACAAACTTAAACACAAGTTGTCACTAGTTTTGTTTTTCTCCATTCTCACTCAACATGCACTTTAAAATTAACTCTCGGTAACACGATTTTTTCGCTAAATGCTACCGAAATTTCAGATTCTGCAACGGTAAAGAATGTTGAATTGAACAACCCGACCCGACCCGACCCGACCCGATCATAAGTAGAAACGTAAAGTATTAGTGAATAAATGTGTGAAATCAAATAATTAAGCAAGAAAGTGAACCTTTAGAAGCACAAGATTCACAGTTTCCGGCAGCATGCTTGCCGGTTCGCCTCTTCTTCAAACAAACGGAGACTCGTTTTCCACTACAATTTCCTCTTTGATCCACCACCACCATCTCTTTCGAACCACCATTTTTGTTTCCCCTCTTCGCACCGCCATTTTTCTTGAGCAATCTGAACCCACTCCCTGTTTTCTTCTTCGATTCCTTTGTGCCTGTCTGCGGACTTGAAAACCTAAATATTTTGCCACCGTCGTCACTGATTGCAACTCCATTTTCTTGAAAGTTTGAATCTTGGGGATTCAAATTCTTCTTTTGATCGCATTGTTGGTGGTTTTGGTTGAAATCGGAGCTGGGTTTTTCTGTGTCAGTGGGGTTTATGAATTTCTTGGCTAAAATGCCGGATCCTGCAGCTGCAGCTGCTGCAAGTAGAACTTGCCACATTTTTGGTGTTTTCAAATAATCAAAACGCAGAATCAACTACTGGGTTTTTAATTTTGCTAGAGAGAGAAAGATAGAGAGAGAGAGAGAGAGAGAGAGAGAGAGAGAGGGAGGGTTTGTCATTACTTCACTTTGAAAAGGCTGCAGAGTGTTCGACGGAGGCATGTGGGATTTTAGTCTTATGAGCACGTGAGCTATGTCACGTGCTTCCCGCTTTTGACACTTTTTCAACCGGTGGGATATTTTACTCCATTTCTTGAAATATTCATTCCCCTTCACATATTTTCTTGATTTTCTCATGAACTTAAGGGCTTATAATAAAACGTGGCATTTAATTTTAGCTTGGGAAACTGGTATATACTTGACATTGAATATATCGAGTAAATGTAATTGAATTTAAAGTTTAAACAGAGAACAACACCTGGGAATTCAAATATGTTTCTAATACATATAATTCAACATGAAAATAGTCTACATTTAACAGAACCAACATATATAGGAACCGTAAGTGTGTGTAAACTGTGTCTCAAAAGTCGAAACAGAGTAACAATGTCGCCTCCACCGCTGCTTAAACTAACTGCTATGACGACATTCTAACCATAAAGCTGCTATACTTCTTCCTAAGAGTGTTTCCGTTTTACTGGTCCTCCTGAGCGCAGACAAGAAACAACAAAAAACTGTGTCAAAATATCGTGTAATAACAGCGCACGGTAAAAAAAAAAAAACAGAGCACTCCAAGAAATTTTACAGACGAAGTTGAGTAAGCATTATTGCCAAAGCTCGTTTGCCTCCAACTAATTGGAGTCGGCTATTATATATATCATCGATTTAAACGTGCGTTTTCTCTCACATCATGATAATAATGAAATTGCAACCTTACTAATTCAGAAAGAGAACGAACCACCCTAATTTTATAGAATTATCACAGATAGACAACTCCGCTCTCACGAGAAGGAACAAACAGAGAGAATGCAGAGGCATTCCATTACAGTCATCTTCTCCGACAATATTAGTATGGGATATACTTGTATTCCTTGACCAATCATTTTCCGTGTTTACTTACATTGAGCTTCTTGTTAGTTAACACATTCCTTGTTTATAACCAATTTCTTCTAATAATAGAAGTTGGATTTGAAACGGAAATTTAGGGAGGATGAGATTTAACTCGCGTATTCAGAATCAGGGCACTTCGTTTGGGAAGATAAAGACTTGTAATCGAAAAGAATAGCAGAGTTATATATCTAAACTCGCCGCATTCATCGGAAGCTATGAGCTACTCGCAATCATAACTGAAGGAAAAGACACACTTTCAACAAATGATTGCAGAAAAGGAAACATGAACATATCTTATGTAACAAAATATAAATAGTTCTACAAGCTCAGATATCGAAAAAGAATTGATTTTGATCTGCAGAAAGAACATGAAAATTGTTGCCAAAGTTTGATATTGCAAAGCAAAGATTCGATATTTCTTAGTTAACAGTAACACATTCAAACATAGGATCATATTATAATTAACAATTCCTCAAGTCGAAATCCTTCAATCCAATACGCAAAGCCAACGGAAATTAACACGTACCGAATAGTGAATCCATCAATCGGCCCGCCTGTAAGAAACGTGTTTCCTCGCAGCCCTTGCATTCTCGTACTCGAATTTCAACACGTTCGGGATATGGGAAGTATCCTTAACGTAGAAAAACCTCCCAAAAGCACTCTCCTCAATCGCCCTAAAACGACACCACATCAAATTGTTCACCACCCAAAACCACCCACCGCCCAACACCGCCCCCAGAGCCGCCCCAGCAAACACCTGCACCACCGAATGGTACCCCAAATAAACCCTCGAATACATAGTCAAAATCGCCATGGGCCACACCACAAAGCCCACAATCCACATCTGTTTCCGGAACAAAGCCCCAATTCTGTGATAGGTCAGCAGCGTTAGGTAGACGGCGAAGAAGAACATGTACTGAGAGTGGCTGGAGGGCCAGCCGTGAGAATCGCACATCTCCAGCATGGCGCACGTTTCGGGCCGGGCCTGCTGGACGGATGTCTTGATTACTTCGTTGATGAACTGCGAGATCAGAAGCCCGATCGCGAAGAACATGCCCTGTAGCTCGCGGCGGAAGATGAAGTGGGAGAAGAAGCCGCCGAGGCTGATGAAGATTGGGACCAGAGAAACCCATGCCAGGAAATGGCCCAGCTGATCTCCCCTTTGGTACCGAACGTGGGTCAGGGTCACCGCTTTCAGGGTCGGGTACGGGTGTGGATTCGACATGGGTTATCTTTTGGGGATTTTGGGGAAAAATCGGATCTTGAATAGCGGTGGACACAATTGAGTGGGTTAGGGTTAACTAACTGTTGAGGATTAAGATCAATGAATATGTGATGAAGAATAAAACGTAGCTGAGAGCTTTTTCTGTTGTGTGATTGTTTTGCAGATCGCCGGAGGAGTTTGTAGGGGACGAGTGATGACCTCCGTAAAAAATGGGAAAATTACAGTTTTCACCCCTCAAGTATGCACTAATTTCATATTTAGTCCCCATGTTCACAAAAAAATACATTTGATTCCTCATGTTTCAATAATTTTACATTTTTTGCTATTTTCGTCAATTTACCGTTACTCCGTTAGTTAAGACAGTGATGAACACACGTTTGATTCCATTAGTTTTAATGGGAAATTGACGGAAATGACTAAATATGTTAATTTTTTGCAATATAAGGAATCAAATGTGTTTTTCTAAACATGGAGGGACCATATGTGTAATTGATGCAAACTTGAGAGACAAAAACTGTATTTTTCTCGTAAAAAACAATAAATTAATTATTTTCTTTGAAAAAAATTTATGTATAAATGACAATTTAGTTTATAAATTAAAGATATAACCACATCAAAAGATATGATTTGCAATAGGCGTGAAGTGGATATCTTGTTATTGGAAAACTAAATTTAAAATTATCAAATTTGAAATAAAATAAATAAATTTATTAGAAAAAAAAAATAGGGATAGACAAAATCCAACAACAAAATATAGGGTACGTAACGGCTTTGAATTGCAAGAGGAATTTGTCGAAAACTCCTCCATCTTTCCTTAATCTTTCTATCTTTTTCGTCTCGATTTCTCTCGCGGAAATATAGAACATTGTGACTTACAATCACTTCGAAACAAACATATACAAATATAAAGTTGCTGATATTCAAAAACGTTATCGGACACGTTTAAAAAAAATGTTTGTCGAAACATGTATTTGAAAAACTTGTTTGTCAAAAAGGAAAAAAATTAACAAGCATTTTGAGGGAAAAATATATATGAATAAGTATTGCAAGTTTGCAACATGTTTCCTTAGAACACGTTTTTATGATCGGTAGCATTTTCTTAAGTGAAAATAAATTATAAAGTTATAATTCCAATTTAAAGTGAAGGGCATTTCAGACATGGCAAATCAGATAGAAAATTGCGGACTAAAACCACTATTTTGGAATAGACTTTCTTATTATCTGTTAGCTAAAAGTAATTGCATGTGGTGAAATTAAATACTTAATTAACAAATTCCTAAAATAACCCTAACCGCTCAAAAATAAATCTGCTACTGTCTGAATTAAAAAAAAGGGGTCATTAGCAATACACCCCTCCTATAGATAAAAAATAGTGATATGTCCATGCCATAATTCTTTCTTTGTGAAAACCCCTTATAATATTTAATTCCAATTTTACCCTTATACTACTTTTTTTTAATAATTATCTAATATTAACAAAATTCCTATTAATAAGGAAACTAAATCCTGCACGTTTTTTATTATAATTATCTACTATTTACAAAATTCCTATTAATGAGGCACCTAAATCCCACCAATTAGGAATAATTAGTATAATTTATCTCAATTATTTATTTTTTCTCTCTTTCCATAATAATAATTTAATTCCTAAAAATGTGCTTTCAAATTCCTAAAAAAATGCCACCAAATCAAAAAAAAAATATATATTCGGATTTTATTTTTTTTATTTTTTATTTTTATATTATTTTCGGACTTTATTTAGCCATTTTTTATTTATTTTTATTTATAATATTTTTAATAAAAATAATTTTTTAAATGTTTTTTTATTTTTTAAAACAAAAAATTGAAATTTTTCTCTCCACAAGTTTGCAACCCGAATATGACTATAATTGAATATGACTATATGTGACTATATTAACTGTAGTCATATTCTTTCTTTACATTGTTGTTTTTTTTTTATTTTGAAATTAAAAATTCCGATTATATGGCATAGTCATGTTTACCAAATCATATAAAACAACGAATATTCCCTATTGTTTACGAAAACAATCCAATCAGTATCCACACAAAAAATCAATTTGAATCTACTTACTAGAAGTCTACTTGAAAACGAGAAGATAGATTATATTCAACAATAGTCATATTCATATTCGGAAAATACATAAATAAGACTATAGTCATATTCGAATATGACTATAGTCATGTTACTGCTGCTGTTCAGATCTGGAAAAAAAAATCGAAAGAGAGAGTGGGGAACAAACAAGAAATTCATAAATCACTAATTGATGAATCAACAATAGTCATAATTATTAACAGAACAATGAGAATATGACTATTATGTGAGTCATATTCAGTAAGTCAGTAAGTGAGAATATACCCTTGCCATATCCATCAACGTTGTCAGTCATCGATACATCCCTCGCATTCAAACTGCACCACTTATCGGTGACAAAAGCCAACGAGGTCTTCATACACAAAATCACCCTGACATATCTTCACCCAAAACGAGCCTCCATACTTTAACACAATCATCAAGGTTGACGACATGTTGTGCAGCACTACACAAAAAAAATTCAGAATGTGACTACTATGTGACTACTTCTGATGAATAAATCTGCACTACTCTGTAAATGCAAAACACATGATATTATGTGAATTCAATTCAACCACAACAAACACATTGAAACTTACACTAACATATCAAGTAACGCAAAAAACAAATTACAAGCATTATCGCCAAGCATACCCTCGCCATATCCATCAACGTTGTAAGTCATCGATACATCCCTCGCATTCAAACTGCACCACTTATCGGTGACAAAGCCAACGAGGTCTTCATACACAAAATCACCCTGACATATCTTCACCCCAAACGAGCCTCCATACTTCAACACAATCATCAAGGTTGACGACATGTTGTGCAGCACTACACCAAAAAAATTTCAGAATGTGACTACTATGTGACTACTTCTGATGAGTAAATCTGCACTACTCTGTAAATGCAAATCACATAATATTATCCGAATTCAATTCTACAACAACAAACACATTGAAACTTACACTAACATATCAAGTAACGCAAAAAACAAATTACAATAAATTACACTAGCATATCAATTACCACAAAACGAACAACTAATTTACAGAGTAGTCACAACGTGACTCTGTGTAAAACGGAATAAAATTTTGAATCAGTAACAATCCTTTACACCAATTAAGACGACCAAAAAATAAACAATAAAATTCGGTTCTACGTACACACATATCTGAATACACATACTACAGCCCAGCGCCCTGTACGAAACCAACAAAAATAAAGCAGCACCTCTAACCTTCAAACGCAGTTTCCCATTAACGAAAACCAACAAAAATAAAGAAGAATCTCTAACCTTCAAACGCAGTTTAACTCCGGCAACGAACAAAGAATGGTTGAATGGCGATGAAATCTCTATTCTCTCCTAATCTCGGCTGAACTCACGTCTGTGTATCAAAGAGAATCACGTCCGCCTATAATAAAGGGAAACGGTTATGGAAAGATATCGTGATTGAATATTTTGATTTATTATAAAAAACTATTAATAAGGGTACTTATGTCTTATTATGTTTAATTAAGGGGGTTTCACTAATTAAGTTTGGGATGTGGGTTTGTGCAAAAGTCTTAAAAGTCAATTGGGTTTTACTCATAATATTTTCCATTTGAGGGGGTATTGCATATTTCCCCTAAAAATAATCTTTCCCCAAATTCCCCAAACGTTGCCCCCGTCGCCTTCTCTCTTCAACTGCCTGAAATTACTGTGTTTTGCTTCACTGAATCTTAAAGCTCAAAGCTGAGAAGCAATGGCGGATGAAACCTCTAAACACCCTAAAAGAGAATCCATAAAATCTTCAGGCAAACTACACACACTCTCTCTCGCAATCCTTTTTTTTTTCTCCGTACGAAAGTGTCTTATTGATTTGTTTATTATGTTTTTTTGATGGTAGAAATATTTTTGTCTTTCTCTCTATTCGATATACGAGAAGCGTTAACGATGATTGATTTTTTTTTTAATTGTTTTGTTATTAAGTAATATTTTCTGGTTATTTGAAGAAGGCATGGTAGAATGAATGGCTTTATTCATTTTCCCCCTTAGTGGTGGTGGGGTTTTCTTTGTTTGTCATTTATACTTGCATCTTTTATTGTTGAAATAGTACCATTACATTCGAGAACCCTAATATGATTGGACCGAGGTCACTGTGTGTGTGTGTGTGTGTGTGTGTGTTTTGATTTGATGAATTGAGATTGTTTTCCGATGGTTATTTCAGTAGGAAGTATAGCCGGGCAGAGGAGACGGGAGAAGGCAGTTATGGTAGGAAAACAAAGAAGAGAATTATTGATGCGGACCAAACGTCTATGCAGAGTGGGAGTTAGCAGTGACAGTGCGAATGTTGATGCTGACGATGATGACATGATGATGGATGGAGAACAATCGATTTTGGAGGATCAGACTTTAAAAGCTGTCCAAGAATTAAAGAATGCCGTTAGCTATCAGTACGACAACTTACTTTATTTTGATTTTAAATACTGATACAAGGGTATTATATCTGGATTTAAGATATAATATTTGCTTTGTGAAAATTGAATATAGGGGTTAAGTACACCTTGTATGCCAGCTAAGATAATCGTACACAATTGTGTTTCACATATTGAAAATTGTGTTTGTGTCCCGTAGTTTAATATTTGTCTCGTTGAAGGTGTTTGCTCCGAATTTTTATGTCGTATGGAAATTTTTTTGATGTGGAGATGACTTCAATTATATTACCTGCCTCGTAGGGGGAAAGGAGCCATGCAGAAAAGAGTTAACGCTCTTCGTGAGCTAAGAAGGCTGTTGTCAAAATCGGAATATCCTCCTGTTGAAGTGGCCCTCACGGCTGGAGCAATGTCTACTCTCGTTCAGTGTCTTTCATTTGGTTCACCTGATGAGCAGGTTTGAGGAGTGTTCGATTTCTGTTTCTACTTTTTCCCCCCTTAAAACCACTAGTTATGTTGATTGTAATTTGAAGGAATCGTCTAATTTATAATTTTATGTGATGACATGTCATACTTCAGTTACTTGAGGCAGCTTGGTGTCTTACAAATATAGCAGCTGGAAAACCGGAAGAAACTAAAGCATTATCGCCTGCTTTACCATTATTGATTGCTCACATGGGAGGTTAGTTTCTGGATTCTTGCAATTTCGTCAACTGTGATAAACTTGCAATTTCAGATTAACCTCTGTATACCAGAACTTGGGTTCTTTCATCAACCGTGTCAATTTTTTCCATGACCATATCATATGTGTTTTGCTACACTTCCACAGATTAATTAAACTGTTATCATGTTTGGCAGAAAAGAGTTCGCTGCCTGTTGCAGAGCAATGTGCATGGGCATTGGGAAATGTTGCCGGTGAAGGAGAGGATCTGAGAAATATTCTGCTATCCCAAGGAGCTTTACAACCTCTTGCAAGGATGATTCTACCGAATAAGGGCTCAACTGTGAGAACAGCTGCTTGGGCATTATCAAACTTAATTAAGGTGCTAATACATGTTTTTGACACTCATTTTTTTTTCCATTTTCTATGGCACTCTTTGATGCGTAAGGATTTTAAATAGCAGATCGAGTCTTTATAAGGTTAGTTTATTCTTTCTTTGACATATGTTTAACATGAAGTTTTTATTTAGGGACCAGAATCAAAAGCTGCTACAGAACTAATAAGAATTGATGGAGTTTTGGATGCAATTCTTCGACACTTGAAGAAAGGGTAAAATAAATTTTGCATTCATTTTTGTGTTTTGCTACATCATAATTCAAATTGGTTATTACATGAAATCTTGGACGATATTGCACGGCATTTGCTGCAAATTTGTAGGGTTTGGTCCTTCTTTTGTCCAACCTGATGTGTCTATCTTGCCACCGAGCTTCCTCATATCCAAAAGAAGATAAATAAATAAGGACAGATAACACAGTCATAAAAATAACCAAATTAATGAAGAAATAACTGGACACGATGACTTGCATGCATCTTCTTGCAGATGACATTTTGATGCATACATGGTCATTACGTAAGGAAGTACCATTAAATTCGCTTGAGTTACTTGTTTTCTACTTCTACGATTAAATGCATTTCACTTTCTTACATGACATCATTTTATATCTTTGTCTTCAATACGTTTACTGATTTAATTAGGGATGAAGATTTGGCGACTGAATTGGCGTGGGTGGTTGTGTATCTCACTGCCCTTTCAAACGTTGCTACAAATATGCTAGCAAAGAGTGATGTGGTGCAAATACTTGTAGAGAGACTGGCATCATCACATAGCTTGCAACTGCTTATCCCGGTAATGGGCGTTATATGTAGACGATATCATTATAAAAGATTTAATTGCAAATACAACTCAAATTTATTGAGTGAATTTATACTATACCAATATTCCCTCACGAACTAATTTTAAAACCTTATCAGAAACATAGGCTAGGTGATTAATTCATGGAATAGAAAAAATCCACTTTATTTACAGTGTTTTCTTGCAACAATTTTCCCAATCTGTGATCGTTTTGATTCCACAAATGGCATCTTTTACTTCAAAACACTATGCTGAATGAATACTGCTCATTAATTTCGTCTATCAAATCATAGAGGCGCCCAAATAAATATCACTATATTCTATGGTTTAAATGTCCACGTGCTGTTATACTGCCATCATCTGTTTACGAGCCGTATTTGTTTTATGATTTTTCTGTGGTTGTTTACTTTCCATGCATGCAGTTGCTACGGAGTTTAGGTAATCTCGTAGCTGGTGATTCGCATGTAACTAGTCATATCCTTGTCCCTGGAAATGAGATCACAGGCCAGTTCCGATTATTTTTTTCCTTTTCTTTTTTTTCTTCTCTGCTTGTAATATTGGTAAAGATAACCTAAACTTTTCGAACCTTCAATCTTCTGTAGTAAATGCAATTCAAGCCATGATCAAATGTTTGGAAAGCGAGCACCGTGTCTTAAAAAAGGTACTATATTACTACTTTCTTGCTTACTTTTTTCAATGTGATCATCATTATTACGTTGGGTTGAGATAAATTTTGTGCATGCATATTATTTTTAGGAATCTTCATGGGTGCTGTCTAACATAGCTGCTGGTTCAATCGAGCATAAAAAAATGATATATTCAAGTGAAGTAGTGTCGTTACTGGTTCGGTTGTTGTCAACCGCACCATTCGACATAAGAAAGGAAGTGGCTTATGTTCTTGGTAATCTCTGTGTGGCCCCCGCAGAAGGATCCGGAAGACCAACTCTGATCACCGAGCACTTGATTTCTCTCGTTGGCAAAGGATGCCTCGCTGGCTTTGTTGACTTGGTCAGATCTATAGATACCGAGGCTGCAAGAGTGGGCCTTCAATTCATTGAGCTGGTTAGCAAAGTTTCTCTCTCTAAGAATTTTGTGATTTTATTTGTCGAAGATAGTTTGATTTCATTTTTTTTTCGGGGTGGCAGGTTCTAAGGGGAATGCCAAACGGAGAGGGAGTGAAGCTTGTAGAGGCTGAGGATGGAATTGATGCGATGGAAAGATTCCAATTTCATGAAAATGAAGAACTAAGAACCATGGCCAATGAATTGGTGGACGTATACTTTGGGGTGAACTACAGGCTTGATTCGTAGAAATAGTACGGACATGGCAGAACGATGTGTGCGACTTTGAACAGTGATTATCTTGAAATAAGCTAGAAATATACGATTTTGGTTATTTTCCCCTTTGACAACTGGCATATGTTTTAGTGATTTTGCATTCAGATTCTTTTTGCAGCAGCAGTTTCTATTTGAAATGGGAATGAATGTAGGAGTTAAAAAAAATAAAATTAAACACTAGTAAAATAAAAAAAAAAAAAAAAAAACAATTCCGATGCCGGGAATCGAACCCGGGTCCCCTGGGTGAAAGCCAGATATCCTAACCGCTGGACGACATCGGATTATTGTTGTTAGATGTTTGTCCAAAATGTATCAATCCGATATTTACGTTGACCAGGCGGGTCGTTCCACAATTGGGCCGAATTATGACCCAATAGTATATTTTTCGGAGAAAATTAATTATGGTGTTTGGAAGTGATAATAAAAGTTTTTCTTAAACAAAATAAAATAAAAAAAATAAAAAAGTAGTGACCTGTCCTAAAAATTAAAAATAAATTGGCTTTTGTTTCCCCTTGAACTGAACGTCTAAAGTTAAACCCCTGTAATCGCTAAAACCCTAATTCCGGCTGCTTCAGTTGGCAGTTGACTGCCTGAAGAAGCTCTCTTAATTCCATTACCACTGAACACGAATTACGTTATCGGCAATAGAAACCTTAATTATTCCGAAGTTGACCTAATTCAATAACGATGGAGAAGGACACCTCTTTCCTCTTCGCCGGTCTCAAATTTAATCGTAAAAAATTTGCCGACGACTTCGCCAGATTCAAGGTAAATTCTACCAACACATAGAAACAGTACATTTTCCTTAATTTTGGTTTTAAATTTTGGTTGGCTTGATACTTGTTGCTGGACTATAAATCAGGTGAAGAAAGAGAGTGATGATGTTGTAGAAAAACCCGGTTTGATTAGCAATGAGAGTTCTACGATGGAGGAAGGTTCGGTGGTGAGTGTTGATAAGAAGAGAAAGAGGAAGAAGAAGACAAATAGGAAGAGAAAAGCTGCTCATTCAGGTTTTTTTCTTTCTTTCTTTATGCTTTAATGCATGTATCAGTTCAATTGAATGGCGGAATTGTTGGTGTGGAATTTGAAAGAATACGGAATTAATACGCAAGATTCTTTCACTGTAAACGTGGAAGATGACTCGGGTGTTCGTTGTAATTGATTATGTGACAGGCTTGTGTTTGATTTTTTACTACAAACTTTATTGTGAGAGAAATGAGAATTGTACATTTTGATTTCACAAGATAATTTTTATTTTCCGGTCGAATTGGTTTTCAGACACAGTTGAAGGATTCGATGTGTGGGGAAGCTCGAAATCAGAAGCTGCAGATGAAGTTAGAGAAGAAAATGAAGATGAAATGTTACAAAAGATGAAGGAATACCGTCTTCAACAGGAGGTTATTTCTCTTTATTAATGTGATGCATTGTTATTTTTAAAATCTTAGTAACATAATTCCTTACATAGAGAAGTAAACTACTGGATTCGCATTTACTCGATACTTTTGTTAAATTTTATGTAAAGGCAACATAACCCATTCTTGTTTTTGTCATTCTTATTCATGGGTGTTAGAGGGATGCGCTTTCTCGGAAGAAACATAATATTCGTGTTTCCGGGAGCAATATCCCACCTCCACTTCAGAACTTTGAAGAGTTGAAATCAAGGTAATACGTCGTTTGCTGGTTCCTTTTCTCCTGGAAATCATATACTTCAGAAATGAAATCGTGAAATACCCAACCGATTTGCTGTGTAGAAAAATGTTTTGGAATTCATCCATGTGAATTTAAACCATAGACTTGTGCTTAGAATCAAAATGCACTGCACCCTAAATTGTCATATGTGACTCAAAGCATGAGCAAGGTGTTGTTTTTGTGTAATCGCTATTGGTTTCTGGATTCAATCTTTTTTGTTCTCCCGACTAGTTTTTATCAAAAGCAAAATCCATGTCCTTGATTTTCTTCTTAAATTAGTGTAACTCAGATTTAATTTATGATTTGTTCGTACAGGTATAATTGCAAATCATACATATTGCGCAATTTGACAGAATTGGGTTTCAAGGAGCTAACACCAATCCAAAGGCAGGCTATTCCAGTCTTATTATCTGTATGATCTTTCATTTGAGCTGTTTCTTTGTGTGAATTTTCTATTTTGTATCTCTTTTCTTAGTAGATTTAAAGGGCGTGGGAATTTTTTTTTGAACTCATGCTCATCTAAATTCTGTGTCGTATCCTAGCATTAACTTGTTCCAATTTTTTTTTTTTTTTTTTTTTTTTTTTTTTTTTTTAAATATGTCCAGGGAAGGGAGTGTTTCGCATGTGCTCCCACTGGTTCGGGCAAAACCTTTGCATTTCTCTGCCCAATACTTATGAAACTTAAGGTATATAAAATTCTTTAAAACACTCCGTATAGTCACGTAGATTTGTAATCCTTCGCTAAATGATTAATCTTCAATAACTAGCGGGCTTCAAAAGATGGTGTCCGGGCCGTGATTCTTTGCCCTACACGCGAATTAGCTGCTCAGACAGCGAGAGAATGCAAGAAGCTGGCTAAAGGAAAGAAGTTTTACATCAGATTAATGACCAAGCAGCTTACGAAAACTGCTGATTTTTCGAAATTTCCCTGTGATATTCTCATAACCACTCCTTTCCGGGTGCAATTTGCTGTCCGCAAAAGAAAACTTGATTTAAGCAAGTAAGATACAATTTCACTTCCCATGTCATGTGTGCTATAATATTCTTCACCAAAAGAATCTAGCTTTGTTGTCAATTTTAGGTTGACTTTTTTCTTATGTGCAGGGTCGAATTTCTTGTCCTGGATGAGTCAGACAGGCTTTTTGAGATGGGCTTGGTCAAACAGGTTGATTTGGTGCTCAAAGCATGCTCGAATCCTTCAATCATCCGGTCATTGTTCAGTGCTACTCTGCCTGAAACTGTCGAAGAGCTTGCACGTACAATTATGCATGACGCTGTCCGTGTTGTCATTGGCACAAAGTAAGAAATAATTAGTTTTTAGTATGCAAAAAATCGATATTTTTATATTTGCTCATGGAATATATCTATTAAAGATAAGTAGACTGCAAAATTGATTATGAGGTATTTCATTATGATGTTATAATATAAAAAAAATAATTTTTTTTTTTTTTTGTTATAATGTGGAGATGTCTTGTTTGTACCTTTTATTGAAGTGCTAATCCTTAACGTTTTACAGAAACTCCGCGTCTGAATCAATAAAGCAAAAGCTCGTATTTGTAGGGAGTGAGGAGGGCAAGCTTATAGGTCTTCGTCAAAGCTTTGCAGAGGTGTGGGTTTTACTTGAAATGCCATTTGTCTTTCTTTTATCGTTCAGTTTTCAGATATTTTGAAGGGATGAAGATGTATAATTGTGTATCTTCTGAAGATTGTTTGTTTAATGCGTCGAAGCCATAAAAAGAATTGCTACATGCTTACAACGTGCATTTGTTTCTTCTTTACTTCCATTAGAACAACTTTGATCTAAATTAATTCGAGTGGGGCCTGCATTCGTAATATTCAAGTGTGGTTCTCTGTTTTTGATACAATACTGAGTTAAATGATCTGATATCTGTTACAGAGTTTGAACCCACCGGTGCTAATTTTTGTCCAAAACAAAGAGCGAGCCAAGGAACTCTACAATGAACTGAAATACGATAACATTAGAGCCGATGTTATACATGCTGATCTCTCCGATATTCAGGTAATAAATTTTTATCCATGCCTCAAATGTGCAAAATAAGTGAATTTTTTCTTGACACTGTTAAAATTGACGTAGAGGGAAGATGCCATTGACAACTTTCGATCTGGAAAAACATGGGTTTTGATTGCTACCGATGTTGTTGCCCGTGGCATGGACTTCAAAGGTGTCAATTGTGTGATCAACTACGATTTTCCGGATTCTGCATCTGCATACATTCACAGAATTGGTATGTCGACGATAAATTATTCCTTCAACGCTGTAATTATCAGTGATTAGTACTAAATTATTCTATGATTAGTACTAAGTGGACCTTTTTTTGTGTCATTTGATGAAGGTCGTTCGGGCAGGGCTGGGAGAAGTGGCGAGGCGATAACACTGTACACTGAAGCTGATGTTCCGTATTTGAAGAATGTAGCAAATGTTATTAAAGCATCAGGTTGTGAGGTACCGGAATGGATAATGGCCCTACCCACGAAAAAATGGAAGAAACACAGACCTCACAGGGAAATGATTTCTGTCATACCCGAAAATGACGAGTGAGGACCGACTTCTGCTGAGCTTTTTACGGACGAGGATATAATATTTCGGAAAAAAATTATTTTAGGCTTTTTTTTTTTTTTTTTTTTTGTATTTGAATTTTTGACTTGATTGGTATTTTTACCCCCAAATTGCAATGAAGCTATAATATATTTTTGACTCTATTTCTTTTATTTTACTGGTTAAAATTAAAATTTTATAAAATTCCAAATTCAGGAATGTAATTTAAGCATTAAGTTATATGAAAATGAAGAAAATGCAGTGAAATTTACTTTTAGATTTTTAATCTGCAAGTAATATGGATAAAAATGTGCTGCTGCCGAAGACTGCTAAATTTGGGACGTAAAGTGAATATAATATGTTTTAATGGGTAAACAGCTAATATTAGAACGTTTGGGGGCTGAGTGCCATTTTTTGAAATACTATATAGCAGAACAGAGCGCCATTGCAGAAATCTTCTATAAACCCTAAATCGCAAATCCCTCACATTTTCTTCTGAAACATTTCTTCTACTCTGGCCATGAGTTTACTCGCCAGAGTAAAATATTCCGGCGGAAGGCGGCTCCTCTCCCTCCGCCCATCTACGGCGCTTCAACAATCGGATTTTCATTCAACCAGAAGTGCTAATGCCAGCCAAAAGACCCAAAAATCGACCACTCCCAAAACCCGGAAATCGTCTGAGCCATCATCAGCAATTGCTTCTCAGAGAACCAAAAAACAGGCTTCGCCGCCGCCAACTGTTTGGCCGAAGCCGGTGGAGATACCGTATCAAGCAAAAGTTTCCAATTTCGTGAATCTGATAGGCCACGTGGCAGCCCCCATTCGATTCGAAGAGGCTTCTGATGGCAACCAAATTGCCGCCACTGTGATTTCTCAACCAAACAGCGGTGAGAAGAACCCTCTGTTGACTCCTGTTTTGTTCGGAGGTGATTTAGCTCATGTTGTGGCTTGTCATGTGAAGGAGAACGACTGTGTGCTCGTGTCGGGGCAGTTGAGCGTAAGCCCGATACGGTTTGCGCTGAATGATAGTCCAGTGAAGTTTCATGTTGTGGTGGAAAATATTAATTTTGTCCAGGGGCTTAAGAGGAATGCTTCTGATCATAAATTAGAGGTCTCGTTTTCGTCTCTGGAAATCGACAAGCCTGTGGCTGGAAAGATTGATGAGGTTATAGAGAAGATGGAGAACGATGATGACTTTAATCAGCAGTGGCAAAACGCGTTGGAGCATGCGAAGGTGAAGGTAGTTTCAGGCGATAATGATTGGGCGTCGTCGAATTCTGTTACCCAGCAATTGGATGCGGATTCCGATGCAATCTTGAAACATGTAGAATCTAATTGGGAAAAATGTAATGACAAGAGTGTGGAGTGGGCTGTTGACAAGAAGAAACATGGTGATCTGGCGTTGGATTTTTGGAGTGATCTTGTGAAAAACCCGTTGTTGTGGTGGGATTATCGTAATCACAAGTCTAATGGACTGGTTAAGGAAAAATTCCCGGATTTTAAGCACAAGGGAACCGGTAAGGCACTATGGGTGAACGATGCTCCGAAATGGGTGTTGCCCGATCTTGAGAAATTGGAGTTTGATGTTAAGGTTATTAGTGCGAAGCCCGTGCAGGGAGTTTCTGATGGGTCCAATGGAAGGAAAAGCTTTGGTAAAGGGGAAGATTCTTGGAAGAATTTGGTGGAAAATCCGAATAAATGGTGGGATAATAGAGCAGACAAGCGAAACCCTAGAGCACCCGATTTTAAGCACAAAGAAACAGGTGACGGGTTATGGCTGAGCGACTCGCCGAGTTGGGTTTTAACCAGGCTGCCACCATTGAAAGATGGCCAAAGTACCGGTAACAAGTATGCACCGGCTCTGTGAAGGTTAAGAAGGAGCTTCTTTGATTGGTAATATTTTTTGTGATGAGATTTTGATTGCTCTATGAATCATGTACGTACCAATTAAATTGAATCCTTTTGAATCTCTTGCCACATCGTGTAGAACTATTTTCCGTATATTCAGCTTCGGTAGTTGTAGTTGCTAATTAACAGACGAATTTGATCTGGTCTAGTGTACTGTGCACTTCAATGATTTAGATTGCATCATCTTTGCAGAGGTTTATCTCTTCTCACTTCTATTCATTGTTTTGAGTTTCTTGCTGCACTTTAAAATTTGATTGTGAACCCAATTAACGTTTTAGGTGCGTGATTAGAGCTCGGTTTTCGTTCTTGCTTTATGTTTGTCACACTCACACACACACACTAATTAATTGCGAAAATGTTGTTTTACAGTTTCAGGACATAAATTCGTAGAATCAGGGCAATGTCTAAACTTACAGCTGTCGACGATAAGTACTTTCTAATCAAAAGCATTTTGGTTCTCTCTTCTTTTTTCCACAACTTTTAGGTGGATTAATTCACATCTCAACAACCATTTGGAGCCAGAAAGCAATTTTTCTAGTCCATCTTTCTTAAATTTCAAGGCATTGCTTTTCTAAGCAAAGTCCCACCAATTGAAATAGCTCCAGTCAGCAAATAAAATACTATATGATTGAATTCACCTACAAGGAACTGTTAATTCTCAATCATATCCCGCCATTTCAAGAAACCTATAATATCTCGTAGTACGAACATTAAACTATCTTCACCAAAACACCCCCGTAATTTGGAGGTATTGTTAATGCTTTTGGCATTATGGGATCTCAAGAAAGATCGAAGAAAAATTTCCACTTATGGAAGAAAGCCATACTTCATTTCTTGATATGTTTTGTGATGGGATTCTTCACCGGTTTCGCTCCAATCAGTAAGCCCACGGGTTTTTCAAGCCACATTACAGTATCTCCATCGACTAGCTATTCACCACAGCTCATCGAACTAGATGTAACTGGACCAACAGCAGGGCACAATCACAGTACAGAAACTGCCGTAATCGAAGAAGAAGAAGAACAAGAAGAAGAAGAGAAAAGGGATCAAAGAGAGGATTCAAATCAAACAAAGCTACTAATTTTGATCACACCAATAAGTACAAGAAACAAGATTAGGAACGCGCTTGTTACGAGACTGGCAAACACGTTGAAATTGGTGGCGAAGCCATTGCTGTGGATTGTTGTGGAACAGCAGTTCGATGATGATTTCGAGGTTTCTGAGATATTAAGGAAAACAGGTATCATGTACAGGCATGTTGTCTCCAAGGGGAACTTCACCGATGTAGATTCCGAAACGGACCATCATAGAAATCTCGCGCTTATTCATATCGAGCAGCATAGGCTGAGTGGAATCGTACACTTCGTGGGGCTTTCAAACGTTTACGATCTCAGTTTCTTCGATGAAATTAGAACAATTGAGTTAGTGTATATATATATCTCGAAAATTTCACTGTGGAAATTCTTTTTTGCACATATTTGGTGATTATTATTATTTGTTTTGCAGGACGTTTGGAACGTGGCCAGTAGCGAAAGTATATGCAAACAAGGAGGAGGTGAGAATTGAGGGGCCGGTTTGTGATTCTTCAGAAGTTGTGGGGTGGCATTTAAAGAGAATGAGAAATATGACTGAGACAAGACCACCCCTTATTCATATCTCAAGCTTTGCTTTCAATAGCTCAATTCTTTGGGATCCTGAGAGGTGGGGCCGCACTTCTTCTCTTCAAGATGCCTCACAGGTTAATTTCAATATATATATATATATATATTATCTTTTAGGATAATTTTACTTTGAAGAAAATATTGTCTGAAAAATGATAATTTTTAATGATGTTGATGTGCATGTGCAGAATTCAGTGAAATTTGTAAGAGATGAAGTTGTTGAAGAGGAAACGAGTCTCAAGGGGATTCCGGCACAAGGTTGCTCGAAAGTTCTACTATGGGTTTCGGAGGGATAGTAGAATAAATTCATGGCATTTTCAAAATACTATGTAGTATGTATGTACTATAGTCAAGATCCCAAATTTTGTTCTATTATTATTTGTAAATGTAGAAATTATATAGCTCCTGTTAATTTTTTTTTGAATTTTATTATTCTTTTCTATTACATTTTCTAACGGATTGCTGCACTTAAACGCAATATCTGCGTTCATAACAATTGAACCCAAAAGGCCCAAATACAAGAATACCATCAGGCCCAGGTTAAGCTCTTCTTCATTCTCGTTTTTGTCCCACATCGAGAAAATAGAGATTTAGTGTTTATTTTATATACAGCAGGCTAAGAAGTATAGATTGTCCCTTCGGGGACATCCGATAAAACTGGAACGATACAGAGAAGATTAGCATGGCCCCTGCGCAAGGATGACACGCATAAATCGAGAAATGGTCCAAATTTTTTTTTCTTTTAATTTCGATTTAACCCCCTATTTCAACTTTTTTTTTTTTTTTAATTCATCACTCTAATCAGATATATTAAATAAAGTTAGTAAAAAAAATTCATGATGAGGTCTGTCATTAATTATTTCAAATTCCCAGACAATTAAGATCTACGAAAACAATTAAAATCAAATACATATATAATAAGATACTCATAATAAAATTATCATGCATTATTGTTTAAAAGTAAACATAAATAAAAAATAATAATAATAAAAGTTGTACACAAATATTTTAGGAGTAAATAAATAATTACAAAATAAAAAACAAAAAGAAGAGGAAAATAAAATACATAAAAATAAAGGAATTAAAATAAAATGCAACAGTATCCCACTTGTGAACTGATTCACCATTGAGGCAATGACCAACCAACCCCACCACATATCCATTGTACTTCGTCTCTGTCTGAATATCTAATAAATAAATATATATTCAAACTCCAATTTAGGGCGCGTGACTGTAAATTTCTGGTGGCCCCTCTCTCTCTCAAACAAAGAGAAGAGTCAATAGTATGTGTGTGTGTGAATTGGGAACAGCATCACACACAGAGCTAATAACCCCCTCTCTCTCTCTCTCTCTCTCTCTTCACTCATTATTTTCATACTGCTTTCCATCTCCAAGGTTCCGCCCATAGGGTTTTTTGCTTCTTCTTTTACATTGGAAATCGTGACAGAAACTTTCTGCTTGGTAAGTTTCATAGCTTGTTGCTTTTTTTAATCGTCAATGCCAAAACATTATTAATCTCTGTTTTTTTTTCCCGTCATTTCGTTTTACTTTTTCCTCCGGTCCTGCTTTTTAATCAATTTGTTGCTAATTTTCTGCGTTTTTTTTTTGCAACAATGCTAGTTGGTGTGTCGATTTTACAGCTTCAGTCCTCTGTGTGTGTGTGTGTGTGTGTGTGTGATTTTTTTGGTGTTTTTTTTTTCATTTTTTTATTTTATATATATATATATATGTTGTTTGAAAATGTACTTGTATAGATCTAATCTAAATAGTTCTGAGAAAGAAAGAAAAAGTAACCCAGGCAAAGTGTTGCAATGCCAAACAAAGCTCTGATTTCTGATATGTTGTTGTTTTGCTGTAGATACCTTTTTCCGCTTACCATTTTCATGAACCTGTGAATGAAATTAAAACGTTCGTTCCGGAATTCATTAACGACGGTTGTAAAAGCTCTTAAATAGTATGTTTCATCATAAAATGATATTCTTAAAAAGTGCAAGTCCTGGAGTGAAAAGTAAGGAAAAACAATGGAAAGTGAAAGACTAGCTTTCATTATGAAATTTATTTATTTTATTTTTACTTTCTATTTATATATTTTTCTTAAGATTTAGGTTTGGTTGGTGGAAGTGGTAGTTGTTTCTCCGGTTCGCCTTTCAAGGAAATTATGTTGCTTCTTTGTTAGCTTAGTTGGTAAAATTGAATATCTGATTAAAGATTGAATCATGTGCCCATTGTTTGTTTATCTATATATCCATAATAAAAAATATTAGTTTCGTAACCAAAATATTGTGCAGGGTTCCGGTTCGGGTGGGCCTTGGATGACATATAGTTTGCTGCATCTTTATTACTGCTGAGAAAATAAAATATGCAGACCACTAAATCGAGGTAATCGTCACTCGTTTTACTATCTCAGTTGTTCATTTGTGAAGTCGAGGATCACCGTTTCTACTTTGTGATTATTATGTTGTTTTGGTGATTGTACTTGTGTTTGTTTGAGTGCAGACCTGGTTCTATCGACGTGCCGCAAAAACCATCTCCAACCACACCTCGTACGGTTCGAAAGCTCAAAACTCCGGGATCGGATTCTGATTCCTTTTCATCTCCAAATCCAGTTAGCAAAACACCTAAAACTCGAAGCCCTAAAATTGTTGATCGCCGCTCTCCACAAAGTGCATCAACAGAGGTAGTTTATATATATTTTCAGTTACTATGCTTTGCGATTATTATTAAATTTTCTTTTTTCGGTTTTTGACATGTGTTTAATTAATATGTATTTCAGAAGAAAAGACCAAACAGAGTGCCTGAATTGGAATCTAAGCTAGCCCATCTCCAAGAAGAACTAAAAAAGGTGAAGGATCAGCTTATCTCATCCGAATCACAGAAAACGAGAGCTAATCAAGAGGCTGAAGATGCCAAGAAACAGCTCAATTCCATGTTTGCCAAACTCGAAGAAACTCAGAAGCAACTCAACGAACTCACGGACTCCGACGAAACTCGAGTCCAAGAATTGCGTAAGATATCTCAAGATCGTGACAGAGAATGGCAATCCGAACTCGACGCAGTAAAGAAGCACCACTCGATCGACTCTTCTGCTTTAGCTTCTGCCCTGAACGAGATACAGAGGCTGAAGGTTCAGTTGGACAGAGTTTCAGAATCTGAAGCCGCACAAGCTAAGCGTGCTGAGTCAGCTCATACCGAGATTCGAAGCCTGAAAGTTGAACTTACGGAAGCTCTTGAGTTGGTCGAGAAATTGAGGAATCAGATAAATAGTAGCAGAGAATCTGAATCTGGGGCTGTTGAAGAAGTCAGTAGGGCTCAAATGCTATTGGAAGTTCTGAAAAATACCGAAGAAACTCTACATTCTGAACACGATAATTCTGTGGAATCGCATAAATCTTTGTTCGTAGAGTTGGATCAGTCGAAGAATAGAGTTGGCTCGTTGGAGGAACTTGTCAGCCGCCTCAAGGCTGATCTTGCTAGCAGCGGCAAAACATCGGCAAACCCTTCGAACGAACTTAATCATTTGAAAACCGAAGCGAATCAGTTAAGGGGTGCGCTCGAGTTAGCTGAAAGAAGATATCAAGATCAGTACCTTCAGAGCACTCTTCAGATAAAAGATGCGTACGAATCGGTGAAGCACGTAGAGACAGAATCTTGGCAGAGAGAAGCTGAATTGGAGGCGAAGCTGCAAGAATCGAAGGCTGAGGTCGATGAATTTAGGGCAAAATTGATTGAAAAGGAAAATGCATTACAAAATCCAAACATGAAAGGAAACGAGCTTGAAATCGAGTTAAAGAAGTCCGATTCTGTACTGGAAGATCTGAAAGCGAGCTTATTGGACAAAGAAACGAAGCTGAAGAGCATTGCTGAAGAAAACGAGAGGCTGAAATTGGAAATTGCAAAGAGGGAAATCGAGAGGAACAAACTAAATGACGAGGCAATTGCTTCAGAAAGAGAGGCACTTATGAAGCTGGGATATTTAACAGAGGAAGCGGATAAAAGCTGCAGAAAAGCAGTTAGGTTTAACGAAGAGCTCGATGCAGCTCAGGCTGTTAACTTAGAAATGGAAGCTGAACTGAGAAAGTTGAAGGTGC